TCTTCCTTGAATCAATGAAGAAGACTGAATCAGCTGTAGCTAGCTACTTATTCCCTGCACGTATCAGGTATAATGGGAGTGAATTTACTATCATAAGAATTCTAAAAGTTAGAAGAAATACACACATTAACAATCAGCTATATGTATGTGTGAATTATATACATAAACAACTATAAAAAATTTCCCATCCTATTAAAGAGAAAATGAAAGCAATGGAAACTATGTCCTATAAGAAACAGTAGATGCTTTTTACATCATTTCTCAAACATAATTGTACTTATTGAGGTATGGGGGAAAATGAAGGTCCTTTCTAAATGAGTTGCAGGTTTTTTAATTTGACTTGATTTGCTGTTGAAGGGTAGAAGACGTTTTCCTAAACATGATTATAAAAAGAGGCAATAGCAAATACTTGTACTTTGTAGAAACACAAGTATTTACTATTATTTCTCAGTCTGTCATCAATTCTGGGAGACATCTACTACCTCTTCCACATCAATCATGGGCACATTGGAGGCAAAGAGACTGGCTTATTTTCCATTAAATACAATGCTATCTTTCTATTTTCACTACCTTAAATGTTCATTCAATCATCTATCTAGTATAATTTACCAAGAAGAAATACTAATTTAGGAATTGTAAAATCATATTTGATTGCAAATATCCAATAAATTAAAATTAAGATCCTATATAAAAGTTCTTTTCATATTTTCCATTAATTAAATGAAAATAAACTATTATTGTCTCTATATGTGAATATATGAGTTGACAAACAAGTGTAATTTATATGCTTTTAAAGCCAAGGAGGCTCACAAACACAGAAATACATAAATTAAAAAAAGTTTTAAAATCTTTTTAGTTTCACTCTCTTTATAGTATTAAATGTACTTTATATAAGTCCTGCGAAAACCACTATCAGCTTCTTCAGAGAATGTGAAAACAAGATTACAAAATAAATCAGTTTTATTAAAACTAATACTTTTCTTTTTTTTTTGTTCTTTTTTTACCAATTTAATTTTTGGATTTTTTTTAGGTTGTTCCCGTTTTTTTTTTCTTTTGGAATCATGTTCTTTAAATATTTGGATTCTAAGATGATGAAAGAGAAAAAAATTGAACATATAGTAGCTTTTTTTGCAAAGTCTCAAGAAAAACAAGAAAAATTTCCTGGTCAAATTACAATAAAAACCCAAAACATTAAGCCTTTCTTGCTCAGCAGCTACCTATTATGTTTAACAGGCTTAAAACAAAATGTGTCAGAGATCAAGAGTAAGTTATCTGATATGTCAAGTGCATAAGGTCAAAGGTCCAATTTTATTAGGTCAGAGGTGGTATAAATAAAATCTTATATGTCAAAGAAGAAGGGTCACAGATAAGGTGTATATAATATAAAGACATCACAGATGACAAGTAATAACTTTAAGTAGAACAAGTATGTTTACTATAGTTACCTTCACTGATTAAAAATGAAATGTGTGCATAAGTATAAAATGGCCTTTATATATCATGCAACTCATATGCACACTTGGTTTGAGGAAAAAGGGGCTATTACCAAAATAACTACATGAATGAAGTGAAAACTTAAAGAAAATTTAATACTTCTAAACTGAAACAGTACACAAAATGAATATATCAATCAAATCTCAAACCACAACAGCTAAACATCAAACTATGCTTTAGTAGCTATAAAAGTTATATAATACTATAATTTTTCTTCCAAAGTAAATGTGTGAATTAAATATCCCTTCCTTCTCTATTTTTCTCAATAAGATAAAAACACATAAAATTTAGATTTCAGTTTACATAGTAGCAGTGTTGCACAAAATTTTAGAATACTGTTTCGTAAATTAAATAGAATATTTAGCTTTTTTATTAAGAGAACTTAGTTACAAGCAATTTTCATAAGTGGAAGATTTTCTTTAAATAGTCTAATTAAATTCTAATTAATGGGGCTTCCCTGGTGGCTCAGTGTTGAAGAATCTATCTGCCAATGCAGGAGATATGGATTTGATCCATCGCCCGGGAAGATCCCACATGGCGTGGAGCAACTTAGCCCGTATGTCACAACTAGTAAGCCTGTGATCTACAGTCCAGAAGCTGCAACAAGAGAAGCCACTGCAGTGAGAAGCCCGCACACTGCAAGGAAGGGTAGCCCTCGCTCGCTGCAACTACAGAGAAGCCCATGCAGCAAAGAAGACCCAGCAAAGCAAAAAAAAAAAAAAATTTAATTAACGAAACAATTTAGGATTTTTTTAAAAGTGGAGCACGCATTCACATGACTCTAGTTATAAACAGCAAAGCTAAGTAGAGAATGGGGACAACCACATGAATGATTAAAGTAAAAAAAAAATTTCATAATACTTAAAATACCCAATTTGAGTAATAGGCAATATTTTTGGTAAACTAAATAGTTGATTAGTTCCATTTTTTATTTCACTTTTATTATTTGGTACTTAGAGCCATTCTGTATAACCTTACAGTTCAACTTATTTCAATAAGTTTTTCTTAAATGCCTTATGATGCGACAAGCATTATGTCCAACAATGGATATACAGAAATTAAATATTTAAAGACTTCCAATTTAAGCCACAGAGAACTGGCTTATACTGTACTAACCTTCAACTCCAAAAGCTGCAAAAAATATACAAAAGATCTACTTGAAGGCATTAAAAACAGCCAACACAGCCAGAACTTGAGACCATGATCCCTGAAAGGAGGGAAATACAGGAGCTGAGCTCCACATTCACTCTGGATTTTGCCCTAAGTGTTTATGCCAATTTTTGGCATGTGAGAACAGTGAAAGCTTAAAGTGCCAGTCTTACTGAGCTGAGGAGACAGAATTTGGTTTAGAGCTGTCAAAATAGTTTGAACTCAAGGGGCAGAAATTCTTAGAAGGAGTGAGTCAAATTAACTGTGTGTAATTTCTCCTCAAACATTGGTCAGATCAGAAACTTAGAAAAGAGCAGCTCAGTTCCTCCTACCTAGGTAAGATTTATTAAGAACCAACCAAAAGGGACTTCCCTGGCGGTCCAAAGGTTGAAGAGTCCAAATTGCAATGCCAGGGACATGGCTTCAGTCCCTGGTCCATTGGGGAGCTGCTGGGGACCACTTAGGCCCCTGCCACAACTACTCACCCATGTACCATGTCAAGAGAGCCTGCGTCCTGAAACTACTGAGTCTGCAGGCTCTAGAGCCCACGTGCCGCCACTAGACAGAAGCAGGTGCCCAACAGCAAAGGATCCCATGAGCCGATATGAAGATCCGGCATGCCCCAACTGAGACCCAGACACAGCCAAATAAATAAATACATTAAAAAACAACCCACAAAATTACTCCTGCTTCCTGACAGTATCCAATCCAGAGCAAAGTCTCATGTCTTTGAATACTCTCCCCTATCCAAATCACCTAAGCAAAAACCCAATTCCTGTAACAAGTCCGTTGCAACACCTTATTGAGAAACTCTACAACTTCCCCAGTGTGCACTTTCTCTTTTTGTAACAAATCAATAAATCCAGTTCTACTCAACTGTAGACATGCTCCTCAAGGTCTCCGTCTGGAAGGCACTGACAAAAAGCTAAGAAAGAGAATGATCTATAGCTTCACATAAACATTAGGGATCAATCTCACAGACTTAAGGATAAGTTAAAAAAGCCCAAGCACAAAAGGTATATACTGTAAGATACCATTTATATGACCTTCAAGAACAGGTAAGACTGTCTGATGGTAGTCAGAGACTAGTTACCTTTGGGGGCAGGGCACGACTGAGACAGGGGATGAAGGAGCCTTCCAGGATTCAAGAAACAATTTATGTGCTGACATGAGTGGGACAAATGTAAAAATTCATTGAGTTATATACTTTAAATCTGTGTGTTCTATTAATATATACCATAATTAGAACAAAAAAGTTAAACATATATTTTGACTTTTTAAGTTTACACACAAGTACTGCCCTCACAGAACCATAATAACCTTTCCTGGATATCTTAAGAGATACCTGAAAATCATGAATTTCTCATCTTTGGGTACCTTTAGAAATTTACTTAGTATATTCAGAACCAACAAATTAAGAAATTAGTAGTATCATCCATATCTCAAGAACAGTCGAATTAAAACATTTATAAAAATACTTACACAAAGCTAAATTCCATGTTAACAGTAATTATAGGTAGGTAAATAATGCATTTTGAAAAATTCCTATGTACTGTATTGATACAAAATTATCAATTTCTATGATTCTTATATTGTTAGCTATTTTCTAAGAAACATAGAGTATCACTGAACAACTCTTAAATTATTAAAATATCAAAATATCATAAACCTTTTATTAATCTTTTTCTAATTGGAGTATAATTTTTTTACAATGTTGTGTTAGTTTCTGCTGTATGACGAAGTGATCAACTAAATGTATACATATATCGCCTCCCTCATGAGCCTCTGTCCCACCTGACCCCCACCCACCCCTCTACGTCATCACAGAGCACCAAGTTGAGCTTCCAGTGCTATATAGCAGGTTCCCACTAAGCTATCTAGTTTACACATGGTAGTGTATATATCCATAAATCCGTTTATACATTGAAATTATATAACAGTATTAAATTCTTATTTCTATGTTTCTTATTAATATATATACTAAAATAAAGATATTTGTATACTATATTGTTGTTGTTTAGTCACTAAGTCATGTACAACTCCTTTGTGACCCCATGGACAATAGCCTGCCAGGTTCCTTCTGTCCATGGGATTTTCCAGGCAAGAATACTGGAAAGGGTTGCCATTTCTGCCTCCAGGGAATCTTCCCAACTCAGGTATCAAGCCCACATCTCCTGCATTGGCAGGCAGATTCTTTACCACTGAGCTACCAGGGAAGCCCATATTACATTGTAGTAGTTACTAAATATAGCTTTAGATAATCACAGAGATACATATGAACATGGATTTCTTCATAATAGAAGAGAATATAGAAGGTACTCAATAAATACATGTAAATGAACCAAAGTAAAGCTTACCACTTCTTCATCTGAAAGTTCACGCCCTTGGATGCTGCTATTTTCTCTCACAGCTTGCTGGTGTTTTTTTCCTTTAATGTGACTAAAAAGATACACCTCTGAAGAGATCTAAAAGCATAATATAAAAGCAATGTAATGAACACTTAATTATATCTTATTTTAAATATTATATATTCTATACAGTATATATATGCAACTTACAATCACTCTAGGATTTATATACTAGTCTTAAAAATATTTTCTTTAGAATATAATTCTAAGACTCCTCTAGAAGACAGATGATAAAAAATGCATGTCATCAAAGCCAACCTTAACAAGATATCATTTCTTCTAAGCATAAAGGGGCAAGTCTCAGCACTGAAAAATATTGCTTCACTTTTGTGGTCCTAATATCCCAAAATACTGACCTAGGTATCATTAGGCTAAAATATCATTAGTATCATTAGGTAAACATCCATCTGAGCAGCAACTGCATGCTTTGGTCCTTTGCATTGCTACTCCTAAATGCTGATACTGTTCCTGTACTATCTATACTTACTTTGCATGAAAATCATTAAAGAAATTCATGGTACTCAGCACATGCCTTGCATGACTTTTAAGACTAGAGAATATATTCCATAGTTTAATAACTTCAGTAATAAATTGTAACGTCTCATCACAACACTGATACTGACAACCTACCAAGACATTGCAGAGAGAACACTGCTTCTTTCTTTCATAAGGGGTTAATTTGGGGGCATAATCGGTATTTGCATGCCGTCCACTGCTTAACTCAGCAGCTTTTTCTTTTCTTTGTTCAATCTGTTCCATGTGTCTTCTAATGCTTTCATCATGCTGTAAATGAAATCAAAGTGTAAAAATATAGAAATTTATTCATTACACTGAGAACTTGAAAAAGCAGTATTTCTATTAAACTTTCTAAAATAATAGAATGTTTTAATTTAATATTGGACGCTGATGATAAGAATTTATATAAAGCCCTTTATCATCCCCTACATGCATAATAACATTTTCTAAAGGGTACTCCATGGAATTACACTGTGGGTTATTAATAAGCATTTTGCAGAAGAGTTTCTGTGGTCAAATAACTTTGGAAAATAGTTAAAGCTACTTACTGGCTCTAGGCTTGTCACTCTGCACTGATGTAATAAACCTAGATTATACTGAGCAACATTTTACATACCTTTTTGACCACAATATACATGAGAAGCACTTCGTGGAACATACTATGGGAAATGCTGCCCCACCGTAAAGACCAAGCTTATCCTCAGCAGAAAAGGCCCATCATGACACAGACCTCTCTACCCATATCATCTCCAACAACTTCCCAGAAAACAAAAAATAAACAAACCCAAAAACACTATTTCAGACTTTTGACTTCATGCTCATATCATTTTATACGGCTGGGTGCCATCCCACACATCCACCTATTCAACTCATCTTTTTTTAAAGATTCAGCTCAGAAATTATCCTCTAAAATTATTTCCCTGACTTCAGAAACCCTTCATGTTAGCTTATGTATTTTCCTCCTCTGTATTTTCATGACGCTCCATGATTACCTTTATCCATATAGAAATTATCTGATTAGCATCTGAATCTCACACTAGATTATGAGTTTCTTGAAACTTAGAACCATGTCTTACTCATCTCTGTATCCCCATGCCTACCACCAGATTCAATAAGTATTTGCTGCATTAGATTTAAACCAATGATAAAGTTCTAGAACAATACAAACAGTAAATAGGATCGTCTACTCTATGGAATTTACTACCCTTGTGAAACCCCAACATGTAAATAGTTATGACATAATGTAAAATATTCACACTGCTAGAAACTACCAATGGCAAAGACTTTCTAGAAAATATTATCTCCCAAGCTATAATTATGCAATTCATAAGCACTGAAATAATATTTTATTTCTAAATTATTAGAGGTCTATAAATATTAAAAGTTTAATAGTTAATGTCCTTGAGTCATTAACAAATTACTTAGTAAAACCAACAAATGCTAAAATTCTTTACATTTTTTCCCTCAATGGCTTTATCTAATTAAAATAATTTGTTTTTAGGTAGTTGAGTTGGAAATGATCAAAGACAAACCACATAACTCCAAAAATTAGTAACACAAATTAATCCAATTTTTATACAATTAGTTAAAAAGAAAAAATATTAATCTCATGCTACATTAAAACAGCTCTAAAGTTTCAAAGTAAAATATATAATATTCCTACCTTGAGCTGGATTTTTTTCTGTAGCTCTTCCATAGCTTCCTGTTGAGCAGCTGTGAGTGCTGCCAATCGTTCTTCCCTGTCTCTGTAAGAAGATAGTAAAAATTATAAACTCAATGCTTATAGTAACAAATTTCATGCAGTTAAAAAAATATAATTAGGACACATAGGCATATGTATTTTAGAGCTTTTAAAATCATTTTTTCAGAGTGCCTACTAAGTTTTGGATATATTATTGCACATTAAACATTTGGGAAGCAACAGACATTGTTAGTTATACAAATATTAGGTTGATTAAAAAGTAATTGTGGCTTTGGACCATCAATTTTAAATAATTATAACTAGGCTCAAACACATCTTTATTAATCAAAATATGAACCATTAAAATCAATACATTTTTGCCAATGAGAAACATTTGTTTATTCCTGTAGTGCAAAAATCTGTGCTTTGGGATTCGATGAACGCCTGGAGAGCATTTTCTGCATTCTCTGTGGAAATGTTTACCCTGCAAAAGTTGTTGAGATGTTTGAAGAAGTGGTAGTCAGTTGATGAGAGATTGGGGAAATATGGTAGATGAGGCAAAACTTCATAGGCCAATTCGTTCAACTTTTGAAGCTTTGGTTGTGCGACATGCAGTCAGGTATCATCATGGATGGAGAAGAACTGGGCCCTTTCTGTTGACCAGTGCCAGCTGCAGGCACTGCAGTTTTCAGTCATCTCATCAATGTGCTGAGAATATTGCTCAGATGTAATGGTTTCACCGGGATCCAGAAAGCTGTAGTGGATCAGACCGCCAATAAACCACCAAATAGTGACCATGACCTTTTTTGGTGCAAGTTTGGCTTTGGGAAGTGCTCTGGAGTTTCTTCTCAGTCCAACCACTGAGCTGGTCATTGCCTATCATTGAATAAAATCCCTTTTCATTGCACGTCACAATTTGATCAAGAAATGGGTTGCTGCTGTTGTGCAGAATAAGACAAGATGACACTTCAAAACAACTTTTTTTTTTTTTTTAATTTTGGTCACCTCACAAGGTACCCACTTATTGAGCTTTTTCACCTTTCCAATTTGCTTCAAATGCCAAGTGACCACAGAATGGTTAGTGTTGCACTCATCAGCAACTTCTTGTGTAGTTGTAAAAGGATCAGCTTCAACAAAGGCTCTCAATTGGGCATTGTCAACTTCCAATAGCTGGCCACTACACTCCTCATCTTCAAGGCTCTCAATCTCCATTGCAAAACTTCTTGAACTGCACTGTACATTTGTTAAGCAGTTTCTTGGACAAATGTGTTGATGTTGCAAGTTGTCTCTACTGCTTTACAATCTATTTTGCACTTTAATAAAAAAATTGCTTGAATTTACTTTTTCATCTAACGTCATTTCTATGGTCTAAAATAAATATAAAATAAACAGCAAGTGATAAATCATTAGAAAAAAACAAAGTGAGAAATGTGCATTAAAATGATGTATAACATAATCACATTTAAGAATGTATTCCAATATCAAAGGGAAAAGTTCAACAATGCAAAACTGCAATTACTTTTGCACCAACCTAATAGTCTTCTGGACCCAGGAATGGGTTTAAATAATAACTCTGGAACTGTGAAAGTGAAAGTCACTCAGTTGTGTCTGACTCTTTGCAACCCCAAGGACTACAGTCCAAGATAGCTCAGTTGGTAAAGAATCCGCCTACAATGCAGGAGACCCCAGTTTGATTACTGGGTCGGGAAGATCCTCTGGAGAAGGGATTGGCTACCCACTCCAGTATTCTGGCCTGGAGAATTCCAGGGACTGTGTAGTCCACGGGGTCGCAAAGAGTCAGATATGACTCAGCGACTTTCACTTTCACTTCATTGGAACTGTAATTTAATTATGGCACATTTAAAATATACATTTATCTCTTTTCCTGTATAAAAATCTATAAATTATTAAAGGGATAGAAAAGGCTAATATTCCCAAAGACAAAGAGAACAGGACAGGAAATGATCACAAACTTTGAGATGTCCAAAGAAGTAAGACAATATTTAGGAAAAAAGCAGTCAAATGAAGCTTTCTCTGAATGAAGCCTTATGTTGGATTTAGTAGACAAGGACTATAACAGCTATTATAAATATGTTATTAAGAATTAAAAGACAGTATGTCAACCTAAGGAAAAAATATCATGACAATGATTCAACAGATAGAGAATCTCAATAGAGAAAGATTTTTTTAAAAAAACTTTCCAACAAAAGAAACTAAGAATCCTTAAACAAATGGCTGATTCGAGGGGTGCAGCAGGGAAAATATAAGATGAATTTGAAGCATCTTTCAGTGCCAGGAAGTAAGGATATACTCAAAAACCAAAATGAAGAAGTGTATTTAAGGCAAACAGGGGACAAATGAAAAAGCTCTCAATGTCCAAAGATGAACCAATTTGAGTAACAGAATAAATGCCATAATATTGATGTATAAATGACATATTGATATAAAACAGGAATTTAATAAATAGGAGAACAAATATCCTGTACAGAAGAAATGCACACAATTTATGTAGAAATTCTTCTCTCAAGGAGGTAGAGAATAACTCCCCATCTCTTCAGCTTAGCCAGTGCTTAGTGACTTGCTTCCAAGGATGATAGTATATTGGAGATTTAAATTAAAATTAAAGTATACAATGGAGAAATCTAACAAAACTACCTTATCCAGGTGATTAAGACTAACAAAATCAGTGAAAACTCAAGGTGATATCATGAACTTTTGACATTTGAAAAATGGTAATTCACATTCACCACTGTGGTCTTCCTCCCCAAAACCATAACCTCAATATAACCATGAGAAAAACATCAGACAAATCCTAATTGAGGAAAAGGCTACAAAATACCTGACCACTATTCAGTACTGTCAAGGTCATCAAAACCATGGAAAGCCTGAGAAACTGCTACAATTCAGAAGAACCTGAAGAGAAATGACAATTAAATATCTGAAGAAATAGTGGCCAAATACTTTCAAAATTTGATGAAAACACTAATGTAATAGGGTAGGATAATCATGAAGAAAAACAATCTAGACAAATCATAATGAAACTGGTGAAAAACCAAGTAAAAAATAAATTGATAACAAAACAAAAAAAACCTCACCATATACAGTGGCAAAACAGTATGATTAATGGCTGAATTTTCATCAAAAACAATAGTAAGAATATTCAAAGTACTGAAGGATTTAGCCAGTGGAATATGGCAAGAAAAAAAGAAATTAAAGGCATCCGTATTACAAAGCAAGAAGTATGGCAAGGACTATTTGTAGATGACATGAGCCTTTATGAAAATGTCCTAAAGAATAGCAGCAGCAAAAAAGAAAACACTAATAGGAAAACACTCATAGGAAAATTGGGCAAGATCATTAAAAAACTGTAAAATAAGGTAAATAAAAGAATTGATTGTATTTCTATACAATAGCAAAAATACTATCAAAAATGAAATAAAATAATTCCACTTTCAATGACCTCAAAAAGAGTACTTAAAAAATTTAAGAAATGAATTTAAGAAATGAATTAAATGAATTACAAGATCCATTTTCTAAAAACTACAAAATATTGTTGAGAGAAATTAAAGCAGATACAGAGACACACACCATATTCATATATCATAATATACAATATTATAAAGGTGGCAATTCTCCCCACAGCAATCTACAGATTCAAGGCAGTTGCTATAAAAAAGATTGGAAGCTTTTTATTTTTAAGAAAATGATGAACATACCCTAAAAAATTATTTGGAAAGCAATTTTGAAAGAGGACAACACTTGAGTACTTATATTACTTGTTTTCAAAACCTGCTATAAAGTTACAGTAGTTAAAACAGTGTGGTGCTAAAGTAAGAAGAGACATCAAAAGAAAAGGGTATCAAAAGAAAAGGAGAGAGTCCAGAAATAAACTGTCACATCTATGATTAATTGATCGTGAACAGGTAGCAAGGCAGTTCAATGGTTAAAAGCTAGACTCTTCAACAAATGGTGCTATGATAAATGAGTATCATAGGCAAATGAATAAATTTAGATTTTCCTTTTCATACTATATCTAAAAGTTACCTTAAAAGGATATAAAACCTAAATGTGTATCAAACTGAAAACCATAACATTTTGAAGAATATCTTATGACACGGGATATTAAAAAATTTCATAAACAAGATCAAAAAGTGCAAATCAATTTGGCCAATTAAATGCTTTGTCTTTGGTCTTTTTAAAATTAATTAATTAATTTTAATTGGAGGATAATTTCTTTACAATATTGTGGCGGTTTCTGTCAGACACTGACATGAATCAACCACGGGTGCACTTGTCTCCCCATCCTGAACTCCCCTCCCACCCCCCATACCCACCCCACCCCTCTGGGTTGTCCCAGAGCAACAGCTTTGAGTGTCCTGGTCTTTGAATCTTAAACAAGAGGTATTAAAAAGTAGGAATGGCTAAGTGTCATTTATTATAATGAGAAAGACAACATACTAACTGGATTACTTCCATGAAAGGACCACTGCTATAGCTCCTATGACCTAGCCTTTGGTGTCTGACCAAGTCCAAACCTGGTCCTCTAACTTCCTGTCACTTTTCCTCGCAATATTTAAGTTAGCTAGTATCAAATTCTATTTCTTACAACTGAAAATATCTTGAAACATCAAGTTTCCCATCCAATAGAAATGTTCAAAAGGTTTCCATACTAAGTAGAGTGTCTTAATTCCTGGAAATCAAAATTCAGTAAAACATTTCTATATATGTGACTATTTCTAAAAAATCTACATGATAGTAAATAGCTTCAAAATTTGATCTGAATATGCACTCACTACAAAATGTTCATCAGGACCAAAAATAGAGATAGCAAATGAAGTACCTAGCTCTTTCCCGGGCTGCATCTTCACGGGCTTTTTCCTTTTCTTGCCTCTGTTGTTCAATTCGGGCTTCTTGTTCTTTCCTCTTCATTAACAATTCTTCTACACGGGCCTGCCGTTCTGCTTCTAGAGCTCGCTTACGTTCCTAGTATCAGAAATGTTTTAAAAGATGTTAGACTTATGTGTAAGATGAAGATGATTAAAGGTGACATGGCTTGGACATAGACTTATATATTCAAGACAGACAAATACCTGACTTGTCATTATGTTTCTCAGAATTTAAACAAAAATCAAGTATCAATAATATCGGGCTTTCACATGTCATTTATTAGTGTTACAAAATAATTATAAGAATAAATGCTATTTTAAGCACTGAAACGTTTATTACCATATGTAAAATAGATGTCCAGTCCAAGTACGATGCATGAAGCAGAGAACTCAAAGTCAGTGCTCTGAGACAACCCAGAGGGATGGGGTGGGGATGGAGGTGGGGGGTGGTTTTCAGGATGGGGGGACACGTGTGCACCCATGGCTGATTCATGTCAATGTATGGCAAAAACCATCACAATATTGTAATTATCCTCCAATTAAAATAAATTAATAAAAAATAAAGAATAAATGTTATTTTAGTAGATATTATATTATTTATATTCTGTGAGAATCTGATAAATATTTTATGTTTAATCACTTCTAAACCCTTGTGTTTAGATGGTTGTAGAAGTAATGGAATATGATGAAGAAAGCATAATTAACAGAATTTATTTCTGAACTAAGCTTTCTTCTTAACTGAAGAAAAGCTTGTAGCCGGGCTTCCCAGGTGGTTCAGTGGTAAAGAATCTGCCTGCCAAGGTAGGAGCCACAGGAGATACGGGTTTAATCCCTGGGTGGGGAAGATCCCCTGGAGGAGGAAATGACAACCCACTCTAATATTCTTGTGGGGATAATCCCATAGACAGAGAAGCCTGATGAGTTATAGTCCATGGTGTTGCGAAGAGTCAGACATGACTGAGCAATTGAACATACACACATACACACACACACAGGCACAAGTTTGTGGCCAGGAGAAAGAGGCATTTTAATATAGCATAGTGGGTGGATAAGAGTGGATACTGCATTAGACTCTCTAATTTTGTTTCCTGATTCCATTATCTACTGTCGGGTGACTCTGGTCTAGTTACATAATAGATGTGAACTAGTTTTCTAGAAGACAAAAAAAAAAAAAATAGTACTTTTAAGTATACTGTAAAGAACGTATGAGATAATACATGAAAAGCACTTACCACAGGGGTTGGCATATACTAAATTCTCAGTAATTACTTATTATAATCATTATTAAGGTAGAAGATACTTCATTAAAACACTGTGATATACTTCCTGTATATATTTTTGCCTACTAGGAGTAGGTGAAATTTTCACCATATTACTAGATATACCAATGTATTTCTTTCAATTCATCCCCATTCTCTAGGTAGCTTACACAACATCTCCCTGGTCACACTCCTTATGATAAATAGAACACACTGATCTAGGCTCCAGTAACTACTACTTAGGTAACTTTGAGCAAGTCATTTTACCTTAAAAAGACACACCATTTTTTGTGAGATTTAAATTATTAATATAGGTAAGCACTTAGCAAAGTGTTTAGTAAGTACGTAGTAAAGTGTTCAGTAAATGACTGCAGATAAAGCAGTTTCTGTCTCAAGAACACTGAGGAGAGAAGTAAGTAAATATTTCTAATAACTAACTAAACTCACAATGGTAATTTTATCTCTACAAGAAGTTGTATGTATGCAGAGGGAAAAAAACTTTTTAAAGTAGTACCACCAAAGGGTACCTAATTCTTTCCTTTCTTTGTTTCTTTTTGGAGAGGGGACTGGGAGCTAGAGGAAATGTACTGATTTCAGAAGAGTATGTCTGACAGACTACAAACTGTTAAAGGTATCCAAATAGATTTTAAACAGTCATTACTTTCTGAAATACTATTCATGGATTAATGTTACAGCTACCTCTCACTACTAAGCTAAGTATAATATGTAGCAACTTGTTTAGCTATTTATTATCTGAAAAACCGAAGAGTAAAAACAATCAAGTCCAGTACGGAAAATTTTCTCCAATAAAAATCATACATGAAAGTTTTCTCTTAACCTCAAATTTACTTGAAGTTTTTTTTTTTTTAATCTGCAGTATATCTGAAAACACAACTGCCACACTAAAACGTAAAAAGATAAAGTTTAAGTATAATTAAACCAGAACTTTTCATTTCATATTTTATAAAAACAAAATCTTATGGAATATACTTTTAAAAATTATAAATTGGTCTTATAAATTAAACATACTAATATTATATAAAACAGTTACTTTTTATGTATATGCAATGTAACTAAGTTGTACACATAAATATTAATACAATGTCGACTTGTTGAATGTTTTTATGGATATAAGAAATACTCCAACATTGTACTAACAAATAATTGAATTTCAAAAAAAATCCAATCCTCTAATTTCTGTTTTTAATAAGTAGAAAAGAAAATTGGTAATTGTATAACCAACGAGTAAAACTAGTAAATTCAGTTAGTATTTTCCTTCCTAAAATATAAGTTTCCTAAAGACAGGAAACTCTGCACTCCATAAAGGCATCTTGTACAGAGCAGAAGTTTGATAAATACCTATTAAACAAATGAAGCATAAGTTTTAAAATAATATTCATCATAAATCTGTAAGCTTACAAATATAAAGTATAAACCTACAGCAACTGAACTGGAAAGACATCTACCTCTCAAGCCTTCTGAAACCTCTCAGACTCCCATATACTTTGTTTCATAGTCAAGGATATATTTATGGTGGCCAAAGAAAGGATTTTGTAACCCTGCCCTTTATGCCTGCAAATCAAAAGATTATGGCAAGAGGACAAGGCAGACTATCTAAGAAATTGGGCATTAAACTAATCTATCAATAATTTATATAACAAAAATGGCAAATTAAGAATGTACAATGGTAGCATTAACTTAGTATTTCACTTGCAAAAAAACCAAGAATCACAATTGCCTTTAACAATTAATTTTGGGAGTTTTTCAAGAGTAAAATTAAAGCAGATGGGGGCCGCTCTGAATTCTTCTCTGAGTTAGTATCTTACTATTACTGTATTTATATGTTTAGCTTTAGTGCCTAGCACATCTAGTAATGACTATACATTAAAATTTTTTTTAAATTTTATATATTTATGTATATAAAACCAATAAATTTTCTACTATCAGTATATAGATTAAACTTATGTACATAGGTTTTAAATTTTCTATTGAACATTAAATCCATAAGAAATTTCAACGTTTTAAAAAAGAAAATTCTGAGTAATCAAAAAATGTGTTAGTGATTACAAAAAATCCCTTACTACTTTCAGAAAAGACCTGCTTTCCTTTAAGCCTTACTAAGCTTAAAGTGTTCCAAATAATGAAATAAGAGTAATTTTTAAACAGAAAATAACTGCTGTATTTTCAAATCTGCAAAATAAATGTAGAAAAAGTAACCACAGAAGTCTATTCAAAAATATACACTATTACTCATATATTTTCCCCCAAAATCCAGCTAAGAAGTCACCTCTTCCACAGAACTTTCCCTGACATTCCCCTCTCATTAACAGAGCTAATTATTCCCTATTCTGTGATACCACTATAGCCTATACAGGTTTCTATTACATTTTCACAAAAACTGTTCTATTATTTACCATTAAGGCAAAGACCATTATTTATTTATTTCTGAATTACTAATGCATAATGGTTATTCAAAAGTAACAATTTTCAAAACGATTATTTGTATAAAATGGTCCCACTACAGAAAAAAAAAAACAGCAATAAAGCTGAAGAGATGGCACAAATTAAAAATTCAAATATCCTATTTCATTTACTCATCTAAGAATATTAGTTAGTGGACAACTTTAATTTTTAAATGATAATAATGAAACTTTTTACAGTCTCTTTGATAGGAAAAGCTAAATTTTCTCTAATAGTAACATCCTGTATTTTTAAACATAAGTTAGCTTGGCACTCAAGATTAAAATAAGACCCTGAACTCAAATCAAGCAGAGATTGGGTGAATATGGGACTGTTTGCTAGTACACAAAAACAGCATGAAATAACCAATAAACTTGAAAGCTGTATTGATATTTTAATCTTCTAAAATTACCAGTGAGATAAAGAAGCATAAAATATTAATAACATCCCTAAGTTTTAACATAACAACAAAGCTCTTCATGATCAGGTCTATAACTCTATATGCTGTACTCGTTCATACCTCCTTCTGCATGGAATGCCTATTTCCACCATTTGCAACTATCTCATTACTCAAATGTTGGGTAAGGCATCATCTCCTCCAGAAAGCTTTTTCTTGACTTTCTCGTGTCTCAATTTGAGTAATGTGTTCTCCTTTGTGCTTCCAAAACGCTTTTACTGTTACACTTATCCTAATGGGTTAAGATTTATTTACATATACGTCTCTGCATTGTGATCAAAGACATATCTTTTTCATGTCCTTAAGCAAAGCTAATGGCAACCCACTCCAGTATTCTTGCCTGGAAAATCCCATAGACGGAGGAGCCTGGCAGGCTACAGTCCATTGGGTCGCAAAGAGTTGAACACGACTAAGTGACCAACACACACACAAGCAAAGCTCAGCACATGGATAACAGCAATAATTCAATACATGGTCACTGAATGAATAAACAAACAAATATTAGTCTGATAGATAAAGTATGTGTCTGCATTCATTCTTGACCTTGAGGAAGATCTAAAATAGTTAAAAAACATCATTTATGTTTATGTGTTAACCCTTCTTCCCATTCTGAAAATGGTAGCTGACTTACGGTATGCTACAGAGGTTTAAGTACCCGATGATACTGCCCAATATACGACAGGCACTTCCTGTTATAAGCATAAAAATTGCCCAGTTCCTTAAGGGTATATACACAGGTTCAAACACAATCCATTTTTAATAGACGAAAGGAACATATTCTTTCCCAACCTAATTAGAAAAGAATAGATAATAATCTGTCCAGAGCAATTTAGCTCTTCATCTGGTGAGACTAGAGATTCAAACTGACAAAGACACTGATAACGTTATCTGAAGAAGTACGCACTGCCTTTGCTATCAGACTTCCTGATTCCAAACCAATCTAGGACTGACTTCTTTTTTTATGCCCACAGCCTAGAAAATGGACAGTGCTCACAAATGCCTGCTGAATAAAATTCTACCTGAACAGCTTCATCACGTGCTTGCTTTTCTTCCTGTCTTCTCTGACGCTCTTCCTGTAACTCATTAAGCCTCTGCTCATATTCCTTCAATTTTGATAAAACATCATGGCGTTTGTTCTGGGCTTCGAGGGTATTTATAAAGGCAATTTCGTTTACCTTCAACAACAACAATAACAACAAAAAAACACAGAAAGTGAGTTTCAAATTAGGCTTATTCTAAGGCACATCAGACACATCAGATTCTTAACACATCATGTTAAGAAATTTAACAGTCTTTATTTAATAATATAAACCAGTTGTATAAGGCATAGAACAAAAAATGAATGACTTACAGTCTTTTATTTCAATACTTATTCTCAAAATGGATAATAATCCAGTGTATATAACAAATCCAGAGGCCATAGTAAGAAGTGAAATAGAGTAAAGGCCTGCCATTGGAATTTTTTACTGAAATACAATTGATTTACAGCAAAGTGATTCAGTTATACATACATATATGTATTAATTCCCTGTGTTATACAATATGACCGTGTTATTCATCCATTCTATATATAATTGTTTGCATCTACTATCGGGCTAATAGTTACTACGGGGCTAACAGTTAGCCCCACATTCCCAATCCAGTCCTCCCCTGTGCCCTCTCCCCTTGGCAACCACAAGTCTATTCTCCATGTCTGTGAGACTATTTCTGTTCTGTAGATAGGTTCCCTTGTGTTATATTTTAGATTCCAACATACAAGTGCTATCATATGGCATTTATCTTTTTCTGACTTACTTCACTCTATACGACAGTCTCTAGGTCCAACCACATTTCCACAAATGACCCAATTTCATTCCTTTTTATAGCTGAGTAATAGTCCATTGAATATATGTACCACATCTTCTTTATCCATTCATCCGTAGATGGAAATTAAGGTTACTTCCACGTCCTGGCTATTGTAAATAGTGCTGCAATGAACATCGGGGTGCATGTATGTTTTTGAATTATGGTTTTCTCAGGGTATAGGCCCAGTAGTGGTATTGCTGAGTCATATGGTAGTTCTACTTTTTGATTTTTAAGGAACCTCCATACTGTTCTCTATCGTGGCTGTATCAATTTACATTTGCACCAATAGTTCAAAATGGTTCCTTTTCCTTCACCCTCTCTCCATCATTATTTGAAGCATTTTTGATGATGGTCATTCTGATCCATGTGAAGTGATACCTCACTGTAGTTTTGATCTGCATTTCTCTAATAATTAGTGATGATGAACATCATATCATGTCCTTTTTGGCCATTTGTATGTCTTTTTTGGTGAAATGTCTATTTAGGTCTTATGCCCATTTTTTGACTGGGTTGTTTTTCTTTTTTTGGTATTGAGTAGCATGAGCTGTTTGTATATTTTGGAGATTAATTCCTTGTCAATTGCTTTGTTTGCAAATATTTTCTCCCATTCTGAGAGTTGGCTTTTCATCTTGTTTATAGTTACCTCTGCTTTGCAAAAGCTTTTAAGTTTAATTAGGTTCTTTTGTTTATTTTTGTTTTTATTTTCATTACTCAAGGAGGTGGGTCAAAAAGATGAGTGTTCTTCCTGTTTTCCTCTAAAAGTTTTATAGTGTCCAGTCTTACATTTAGGTCTTTATTCCATTTTGACTTTGCTTTTGTGCACGGTGTTAGGGAGTATTCTAATTTCCTTCTTTTGCATGCAGCTGTCCAGTTCTCCCAGCACTCCTTATTAAAGAGACTGTCTTTTCTATATTGTATATTCTTGCCCCTGCCATATATTAGGTGACCATAAGTGCATGGGTTTATCTCTGGTCTTTCCACCCTGTTCCATTGATCTACATTTCTGGTTTTGTGCCAGTACCATACTGTCTTAGTTACTATACAAATCAATTTTCTTCAACATACACCAAATAAGTTATAATTAGGTACAAAGCACTGAACTACATATACTTCATCCTCAACTTTACATATATTGATTCTTAACAGTCAAGTTTTGCTAGAGAGTACAGTTTTTATGAATAAAGTACAGCTAATGAAAAAAGCTGGAAAATGTAAGTTGGGATCAAATGCCTCATTCTTGAAAGCCAGAAGGATGGCATGCTATTGTAAAAAAGGCAGAGTGAAACCGGGAATTAAACACTGGAGCTGTTCTCTCTGACAGAAGTACAGACTCCAGGAATCCATGCTAAATGAAATAAAACCTATCACTAGATATGTTTCAAGCAAAGCAAATGTCAAACTCACATGTGAATGAAGTTCTAAAAAAGATTTCCCAATCTCCATGCCATATAGCCACTTTCATAAGTAAATTAACAACATAATCATTTCTCAAACTAGACTAAAAGTATAAGACAAACAGGTATGCTCAAGGAAGATTAATCATACTGTATCAAGGGTCACATGTGAAGCATAATCAAGATGAAAGAAAAAGAAATGGGACCCTAATTCTCCAAACAAAATACATAAAATAAAATTCAGAGGGAAGAATGTGCAAAAACAGAAGAAAAAAATACAATCTGTAATGCTGGTCAAATGGTCCAAAGTTTTAGTTAAACGAGTTGAATATGTTTGAAGACTCAGCAGTGGCCACAGGACTGGAAAAGGACAGTTTTCATTCCAATCCCAAAGAAAAGCAATGCCAAAGAATGCTCGAACTACCACACAATTGCATTTATCTCACATGCTAGTAAAGTAATGCTCAAAGTTCTCCAAGCCAGGCTTCAGCAATACATGAACCGTGAACTTCCAGATGTTCAAGCTGGTTTTAGAAGAGGCAGAGAAACCAGAGATCAAATTGCCAACATCCGCTGNAAGTTGAGTGCCGAAGAACTGATGCTTTTGAACTATGGTGTTAGAGAAGACTCTTGAGAGTCCCTTGGACTGCGAGGAGATCCAACCAGTCCATCCTAAAGGAGATCAGTTCTGGGTGTTCATTGGAAGGACTGATGTTGAAGCTGAAACTCCAATACTTTGGCTACCTGATGTGAAGAGCTGACTCACTGGAAAAGACCCTAATGCTGGGAAGGATTGGGGGGAGGAGGAAAAGGGGACCGACAGAGGATGAGATGGCTGGATGCCATCATCAACCCGATGAACATGGGTTTGGGAAGACTCTGGGAGTTGGTGATGGACAGGGGGGCCTGGTGTGCTGCGATTCATGGGGTCGCAAAGGGTCGGACACAACTGAGCGACTGAACTGAACTGAACTGATAACATACAGCATAGTGATAACAGTTAACAATACTATAACATATACTTGGAATTTGCTTAGAAGATAGATCTGAAATCTTAACACACACACATAGAATAACTAACAAGTAACAGATGCTTCAATTAGCTGAATGTAGTGGTTATATCAAAACATATATGTACATCAAAATATCAAGTTGTATACCTTAATATATATAATTTTGATAGTCAATGATATCTCAATAAAACCATAAGTAAGTAAATAAATAAGACATTTCCTGAAAATTACTGGAATAAAACATAACCAATGAAGAAGCAGAAAATTTCTTAGGCAAATTCTGTAATGTAAGAGAAGTCAACATGCACTTGGATTTAAAGGTGCAAAAAAAATGATAAAATGATATAACGATAAAATAAAGGAAGACAAGAAAGTTAAGGAAACTTAGGAAAAGGTAACATGATCACAGAATTAACTCAGTTAATTAAGCATGAAAACAGAACAAAGATGGTAAAAAATCAAATCACTAATGGAGGAAAGGCTGGTTACAATCACAGTTACTGTGAACTTTAAAAATATAAAATTTATATATAAGTAATAACTTTTGAACACGGAGAACAAGTTAAGATGACCTAACATAAAAATAACATCTATATTAAGAAAGTCAAAAGAAAATATTCTAATATACTGGGTTGGCCAAAAAGTTAATTCAGTTTTTTTCATAAGATGGCTCTAGTAGTGCTTAGTTGTCTTTAACTTCATTTGAAACAATTTTATTAGATTATATTGTGACAGGTGTCATATCAATGTGTATTTGAAAAAGACAAAATTGATGAATTTTTACAGAGCCATTTTAATGTTGAAGATGGAAAAAAAAAGCAACATATTCAGCATATTATTATTTCAAGAAAGGTAAAAAGAGAACTGAAACACAAAAAATGATTTGTGCAGTGTATGGAGAAAGTGATGTGACTAAACAAACATGAAGAAGCAGCCACTCTTTGATATATGTGGAATCAAATTTTGTGATCATAAGAATCATGTGGAAGGCTTACTACAAACAAGAAAACTCCTCAGAGGTCACTCTAGCATTACTGGAAAAAAACCTGCAAAGCCTGGAAATCTCTCTTTTTAACAATTCAGATGACTGTTATAATCAGGCAAGACTGGGAAATATTGGCATGTGAAAAAAACCAAAGGTTGGAGGAGGTTTTGTTTCATAGATTAAAATGTCTGGGGATAAAAATAACTGATAATGTTCCACACAAACTGTTAAGATATTTATGTAATTACACTAAGAACAATTCATTCATAAAACATTTAAATGAGAGAAAAAAAAACTAGATTGTTTATTTTTATCTTCTTTGTATATGTAATACATTTCAAAATAGGATTTCAGAGATTATCGAAGAGAAAGCAATGAAAGTTAAGAGAACCAATAGGACAGATATTGGTAGTAGGGTTTTAAAGAAGTATTTCATATTAGCAAAAATAGTATACACTCATCTTAGTTAACTGGGATTATTAAGAATGTTTTAAACTGCAAATGGCAGCTGATATCTTTATGTAAACACAACCAGCAGTTGATAATTTATCTTGACAGAAACTACTTAGAACTATAGCTTGTGTTATTATGTTTACAGGAGTCACTTGGTTTGCTGCATGCTAAGTCGCTTCAGTCATGTCTGACTCTTTGCGACTCTATGGACTATAGCCCACCAGGTCCCTCTGTCCATAGGATTCTCCAGGCAAGAATACTAGAGTGGGTTGCCATGCCCTCCTCCAGAGGATCTTCCTGACCTCTGGCTTAATGAGATTATAATGAAAATAAATATATTAAGCAATTAGACAAATAAAAATTCATAAAAGTCATATGAAAAAAAGACCACAAAATGAGAATACTGAACAAATAATAAGAATAGTGGTAAAAGCACAGGCTTTGGAACAACAAACAACAGGATTTTAATTCTGGCTGTGACCATCAACAATTTGCTTTCAGATTGCTCCTCTAAAATATAAAAACAATACATAGTTCAGAATGTCCACTTCCAACTATAATGGAGTAAGAGGGTCCAGATGTACCTTTCTACCTTAAACAACTAAAAAATTAGACAAAAATATATAAATTACATGAATAATGTAATACACCAAATAGCAAAAAAACAAAGGAGATATCCACATTATTCTGGCAACAGATGCAGAAAAAGTGCTTGACAAAATACAGTATCCTTCAGGATAAAAGCACTCAACAAACTAGGAAAATCAAAACCCCTCACAAATACTGATCCAACAATGCTTAAAAATTTTAGCAAACCAAGCTCTCCAAAATATAAAAATGTTTTTATATCATGACCATGTGAGGTTTATCCTAGAACTACACACTTCGGTATTTGAAAATCAAGTACTGAAAATTCACCATTTAAAAATCTTATTAAAAAACCACTACAATATGGTAAAGTAATTAGCCTCCAACTAATAAAAATAAATGAAAAAAAAATCTTATAAAAGCATAACATTATCTCAATAAATGCAGAAAAAGCAAGCAACCAAATTCAAACTCCATGGTAAAAAAAAATTAGTAACTAGGAATAGAAAGGAAGTTCCTCAATCTAATAAAGAACATCTCTGAAAGATCCACAGCTAATATTAAAGGTGAAAGACTGAATGCTTTCTTTTTAAAACTGGGAACATGGCAATGATGTCAGCTGTCATCACAACTAGTCAATATTGTCCTAAAATAGCAAAAATATTTTAGAAGAAAATACAACTTAAGGATTTATACTTTCTGATTGCATGACTTATAAAGGTAGAGTAATAAAGTGTTATTGGTCTAAAAATAGGCATACAGTTAAATGTAACAGACCAGAAAATCAGAAACAAACTCACACATGTATAGCCAACTGCTTTTCAACAAATATCCAAGGCAATTCATTATATAAAAGATGGCCTCTTTGACAATGATAATGGAACATTAGATATCTATATAAAAAAAATGAACCACAACTTTATTTCACACCATATATAAAATTTAACTCAAAATGGAAAAGATATCATCATAAAATTGAAAACATCTAGAGAAAACTTAAGGGAAAATTTTAGTGATCTTAAATTTACATAATGTTTTTTTTCTCATTTATTTTTATTAGTTGGAGGCTAATTACTTTACAATATTGTAGTGGTTTCTGCCATACATTGACATGAATCAGCCATGGATTTACACATGTTCCCCATCCCGATCCCCCCTCCCGCCTCCCTTCCCATCCAATCCCGCTGGGTCTTCTCAGTGCACCAGCCCTGAGCACTTGTCTCACATCCAACCTGGGCTGGTGATCTGTTTCACCCTTGATAGTATACTTGTTTCAATGCTATTCTCTCAGAACATCCCACCCTCGCCTTCTCCCACAGAGTCCCAAAGTCTGTTCTGTACATCTGTGTCTGTTTTTCTGTTTAAAAGGGATAAAAAACACAAAGTATAGGAAAAAAGTCAATATATTGGACCTTTCCAATTTTTAAAGCTTCAAAAGACACTTTTAAGAAAATAAAAAGGTCATCCATAGACTGAGAAAAAACATTTGCAAAACATAGATACTAATATCTAAAATATAAAAAATCTTTTAAAAAATCCTGCTATTTCCTACAACATGGATGAACATTGAGGGTACTATACTAAAGTGAAATAAGCCAGATAGAGAAAGAAAAATACTGTATCGTATCACTTATATTTGGAATATAAAAGAAAAAATCAAACTCATCAAAACAGATTTTTCTTTCTGTAGCTGATTTCCAGTTTGCTAACAACTGTGGTTAGCAAAAATGCTTGATATAATTTCTATCCTCTTATATTTGTTATGACTTGTTTTATGGTCTAGTATGTGATCTATCCTGGAGAACATTCCATGTGCACTTGAAGAGAATGTGTATTCTGCTGTTTTTGAATATGATGTCCTGTATATATATCTATTAAGCCAACTGGTCTACAGGATCAAAAAGCATCATTGTTTTACTGAATTTCAATTTAGATATGGAACAAACTGAAAGGCTCATCAACAGATGAATGACTAAAGAAGATGTGTGAGGTGTGTATGTGTATAATGGAGTATTACTCAACCATAAAAAAAATGAAATTCTGCCATTTACAGTAACATGGATGAACCTAAAGAACATTATGTTCAGTGAAATAAGTCAGACAAAGAAAGACAAATACTATATGATATCACTTCTATGAGGTATCTAAAAAAATAATACAAATGAATATATATGCAAAACAGAAACAGATACAGAAAACAAACTAGTGGTAAGCAAAGAGAAGGGGAAGGGGAAGGGGAAATTGGGGGTACAGAATTAATACAAATTACTATGTATAAAATATAGAAGCAAATTTTATATATTATTATAGGAAATCACAGTCATTATCATTCAACAACNCTGATTCATGTCAATGTATGACAAAAACCACTACAATATTGTAAAGTAATTAGCCTCCAACTAATAAAAAAAAGAAAAGAAAAAAAAATCAACAGGTATCTGAATAAACACTGCACCAAACAAGAGCTTCAATAGAAAAAATACACACATAAAAAGATGTTCAAAAAGCAAATTAAAACCACATGAGAGCTATATATACAGACTAATATGAAATGGTTATAATTACAATGTGTAACCATGTCAAGTATTGGTGAGAATGTGACTAACTAGAACACTCATGTACTACTGGTAAGAGTATATAAATTGTTTCTTTAAAAATTAAACTTCTCATAGGATTCCACCAATCCACTCTTGGGTATTCACCGAAGAAAATAAAAGCACACATCTGCACAGAGGCTTATACATGAATTTACACAGCAGCTATATCTATAATAGCCAAAAACTGTAATGAAAACAAATGTCCATCAACAAGTGACTGGATTAACAAACTATGGTATTTTACACAATGTTATCCTTCTCAGCAATGCAACGGAAATGATATACACAACAACATGGATAAAATTCAAACTAACTATGCTGAGTGAAAGATTCCAGAGGAAAGAGTACTTACTCTATGATTCCATTCATATAAAATTCTGGAAAATGCTAACATCCATAGTGACAAAAAGCAGATCAGCAATTGCATGGTAAAAGAGTTGGAGGAAGGAAAGAATTATAAAGAGGTATGAAGAAACTTTTGAGGGTGATGGAACGGTTTATTATTTTCATTGTACTGATGGTTTCAGGAATACATATGTCAAAACTCATCAAACTGATGCTTCACATATGTGTTATTTATTATCTGTAAATTATACTTCAATAAAGCTATAAAAATAATATATATCTCATAGGATTATTTTAAGAATAAAATATTGTACATAATAAGTTTCAAATGAGCCTGTAAAAATGCTGTTATTCTGGTACCGAATAAACACTTGATAAATATTAACTTCTCATGTAACAATTGAAAAAGTACTTGAGTAACTAATTCAAGGTTCAAAACACCTAATACACACCTTAGCTTCTTCTTCTTGTGCTTTTTTAACAATTGCTTGTAACTGCACCTCTCGTTTGAATTCAGCATGAAGTAATTTCTCTTCCATCATCCTACGTCGTTGGTCTAATAACCCTTCTTTCCACTTCCGGACTTCTTTCTCCTATACACAATGAATTATCACATTATTAATTTCAGCATACACAGTCAATTGACAAGAAGTTCAAACAGGTAAACAGCTTAGGAATTACAAAGTGAAGAACCAGGAAAGATCTAAAGACCATGACTAATTATTAAGAATGCAGACTGTAAAGCCTGACAGTTCATAATCTACCAGTCTTGCTTGCTACTTGCTAGATGTGTAAACTGGATAACTTTTGTAGCCTACACCTCAGTTTCCTCATCTATAAAGAGAACAGTAGAAGTATCTAACTCATAGGTTTTAAAGACTGAGTTAGTCGATATATGTAAAACTTTTAGAATAGTACATTAGATATTGCTCAAGAGAAATATTTGCTGTTATTATTATATTGCACTATGAGCACACTTAAAAATAGTATTTCTTATCCTTATAAATGTTGTCTCTATAACTCAAATTCAAGACAAAAGAGTAATTTTACCCTAGAAATTAAAAAATGGTGAGAAGTTTGAAAAGTCACAATTATCTGCATAAGAACATTCTCTGAAGGAACACACTGAGTTTTGCTTATAGAAGAATAAAGATAATTATGATAGCTGCATTTAATTCAAAGAGAAGTAAAAGACTTGTCCTGTGCTTCAACATATTAGAACCAGCACCAAAAAGAATAAAGAAAATCAATGCTGACTTAACACGAATGGAAAGAAAACTAACATTTAAGTTGAATTTTAGCTACATAACAATGGGTTTAACCACCTTAAAAAGTATGATGCAGAAAGAGCACTGAAATAGGAGGTAAAAACAGGTCCTTAAAGCCCCAGCTCTGCAAATGATTGGTCATATGACACTGCAGACAGCCTTTAGTCTCTCCTAGATTCAGTTCTCACATCTATAAAATGGGGTTCAGGATCTGTTCAATTCTGTGTGCCTCACAGAAGTACTGTTGTGATCATATGAGACCATATAGGTAACAACAGTAATGAAAAAATAACCACTGTACAAATGGAAGGTGAGATTTACCATTTGAATTAATTGAAGTGATACCGACATTGATGGGAAAATTAAACCAGAGAACTTCTAATGTCTCGTACAATTTCAAGAATTTATTATTGTGTTTGCGTGAATTATCTGGAGATTATACTATATAGTGAGAAAACAAACTATGTAATTTTGTTTGTATGAAAAATACAGTAAGAAGGGAAAGTATAATTGTGTTATAACACTTTTCTGAAGCTTAAAATGAAAAAATATATTAACTCTTGTAGAACCCCATTACAAGGAGACTGTTTTTCATACTTGATATATCCAAACTAAATGATTAAAATAAAAATAATTAAATTCTTGAGATTCATGTAAAGAGAAAAATTACAGATTTTCTTCCTTTCCCACCAACTTTTCTACTGCATTAAGGAGAATCTTATGTCACCTCATTTTTACAATCAGACTATTTGATCTAATTATCTCTCCCAATTTTAAAACACACAAAAGGAATGAAAATACTTTTAACCTATGCCTATTAGTCCTCCTTTCTAGGACCAAAAGGTAAACAAAAGAGTTTACCTATACTACAGGAGAGGGCTTCCCTCATAGCTCAGTTGGTAAAGAATCTGCCTGCAATGCAGGAGATCTGGGTTCCATTCCTGAGTTGGGAAGATCCCCTGGAGAAGGAAATGGCAATCCACTCCGGTACTCTTTCCCTGGAAAATCCCATGGATGGAGAAGCCTGGNAGGTTGTGAAAAGACAATGCAGCTTCCATTTTGGCAGCTCACTTATTCATTCTCTCTTTTTCTCACTCAGATTATTCTGTGGCAATGGTAGCAGCCATGTCATGAGAACAATGGGCTGTGGAAAGACCCACATGGCAAGAAATGGAGGTCCACAACCAACCACTAAAGAGGACCCCAGGCCTGCCAAAAGCCACATGAGGGATCTGAAAGTGGATCTTTCATTTCCAAACGACTGCTGCCTGAGCCAACACACTGACTGCAACCTCACGAGGGACTCTGAACAAACAAACAAACAAACAAATCACAACATAAGCCACTTCCAGTTTCCATGCCCAAGAAATTGTGAGCTAATAAATGTGTGTTGTTTTAAACTGCTGAGTCTTGAGGTCCTTTGTTACACAGCCTACATAACTAACACAGTACTCACATCTGCCATGTGTAATTAACAATAAGAATAACCAAATATATATATGGAACAACAGTCACCCAAGTACCATGCTACAGTTTTACATACTTGCTACATTCATCAACACAGCTGGTTAACAGTTACAAATGCCATTTTATGGATAAAGAAATTAAAAGGCAGTATCATTAAGTAATTTGCCAAGGGCACCCACCACAAGCTATCATGTGGTTAAAATCAGGATTTCACCAGACTGGCTATCTCTAGAGTCCATGTTCTTTCCACTACACCACACTGACCAAAAGTTACACTGCTCTAAATACTCCAACATTGCAGGCAGAATCTTTTGCCGCCTGAGACACAAGGGAAGCCCCATAAATCTAATTAGTGCCCTGCTTATTAAAATCTGACCATCTCAGGTTCAAAACTATCCTACCAATTCACCGAACACTTTGCACAAGACTGACCAAGGAAACCCCCAATGAAAATGGCAAAAGACAAAGTGCAGCTTTAATAATCCATGCAAACTGCAAAGCATCAATTTACTAGCTTTTTTAGGAATGACAGGTTATGATTTCTTTTTTTAGAAAGGTACAGGTAATTTTTCAGTAGATAGAAATGCTTTTATTTTCGAGTAAATTTATTTTTACTGTTCTTTTAGCTTCTCTGAAAGTAGAAAAAGTCAGTATGAAAATAAGCCCAGCAGTTTAAGGCAATCATGATTCTTTAAAAATTAAAAACTCACCCTTTCTAACAATTTCTGAAGCTTTAATGTTTTCTGTTCACGTAACTTTTCCCTTAGCTGCTGTGCTTTCATTTGTTTTTCTTCATGTTTCTTCTTAGATTCTGCAATTGTTCTATTAATACAAACAAATGGACAAGAGACACAAATGTTTACATGATAAAGCCAAAAATATCTTCTTTGGTCTTCAAAGTTCTTAAAATAAATATAAACAATATACAAAACTAATTTGGCCTAACATTTCAGGAAAACATTGTCACTTTTCAAAAGATCTGAAACTGTCCTGAATAATGTACCTTAAAATAGTATCAGTATGTAACGACTCCATTTAATAATTAAGAATGGCTAGCTCCCTTCCTGTGAAACATTTCAAATTAATTTTCAAAGGCCAGACCTTTTACGAGATGGTGAGGAAAGTTTTTCATGCATATGAATTCCATGTCCTGGAGGCCTAGCAGGTTCTTCCTCTACAATATCCCCCCAGGATGTATTTTGGCGCCAAGATTCACGAGCTATTTTCAGAAAAAAGAAAATCACTGTTAACTGTTTAACCACATAATTCTATAAAACCAACTTTTGAGAACCGATTTTTAAAGGCATCCTACTCTAAATTATTCATTTTACACAAAAACCACATGTATTAACATAATCTATTTTGTACCGCTCTACCTATACATACAGCACACACACATACAAACATGCACACATAAATTACCTTCATAATCTGCAAGGACATCATTCCAGTTCATACCACAGAAAGATACACTGCCACTGCCCATGCTGGTCTAAAATGTAATAAGAAAAATTGAAAAATAGTTGAACCAATTATGAACTAATAAAAGGAACTATAAATGAAATTTTCCTATCTATTGCTCATATATTTCATTTAGCAAACAGTCCAACACCAACATTAACAGCAGAAATGAATGAAATAATTTTAAAAGAAAAGTATTGGCCTTAAACTATTACTACATAAAACTCTGAAATATTCAGCATATACATCAGAAAAGCTCAAAAGTACTTGTTGGGTATTAAAATTTAATAGAAAAATGTTTGAAAGTTTCACAGTTATTTTTATTCTTTAAGAAATCCCTCTCATCAACATATATATCAAGAGCGCTTAGTGACAGCAAGGCAATGTATCATTTGCTTTTTATCAGTAGAATAGAAAAAGATATCTTAGATTCTTCTTCAATCTATACACTTATAATCTGAGAAATGTTATGTATTTACTTACTCTGAGGTTCAATTTCATTTGTAAAATGAGAAACCAACTTCCAGCTTGTCAATTGCATCATATATAAAAAACACTTGGTAAAGTGCTTTAAAAGGACTTCCTATTGTTTACTGTATATCTCAATCACCCAGAGAATAAAAATGCTAAAAGCTCACAGAAAAATCACTGTCATTGTCAGTTTCAATGTTGAAATCGTTGTTTTCTTCAGCTTCAATTTCTCTAGTTAACTGTTCCTCTTCAGCAATAGCACTGGCAATGGCTTCTTCATTGGCCTTTTCTAGACGATCTGCTAGCTCTTCTTTTTTAGCAAGAACTTCTGCCATAGACTATAAAGTTAAAAACAAACAATAAGAAGAATCATTAGTAGATTGGAAAGTCAAGTAATTATTTCTCTCTTTATGTTCTAATCATATACTCAACATATACATAAAAACAGCACTGATAAAGAACTATAAAACTTGGGGTCCAGCTCTGTGACTCAGAAATTTCTTAAAAGCAAGAGACTATTCTGTATCCCATAAAATGATACAATAATCCATGACTTACTTTCTTACCAGTCTGCTGTGTATGACAAACTGTGAAGTTATATAAATAAGAGGTATTGTTATTAATGATAAAGTGTGAATTTCATTCAATCACCAAAATTCAAAACAGTTACAGACCAAATATCTTACAAACAAAAGAAAAACACTATTCTTAAAAAGGAACATTAAAAAATTATACCATAATGGTGTTATTAATATTTTTTGAACATATATACCTAATTTAAAATTATGCATTAGAAGCATGTAATACAAGTAATATGTACCAGAATTAATTGATAAATCCCTATAATAAGCTTAAACATGTATACTATAAATGCTGAGGCAAACACTGAAATAACAAAGATTTATGACTACTAAGCCAACAAAGGAGACAAATTTAAAAATGTAATTAATTAAAAAGAGGGGAGAAAAGTAGGAAAAGCGGGATAAAGAATAGGTGAGTCAAAGAGAAAAACAATAAGATGGCAGATTTAAAAGAACTATATTCATAGTCACATTAAACAGAAATAGTCTAAACACCTCAACTAGTAGACTCAAATCTGGATAAAAGCAAGACCCCAAACCACATGCTGCACGTAAGAAACCTAATTTAAATATGAGAGTATAAACAGATTACAAATAAAAGAGCTACCATACTAACACTAATCAAAAGAAAGCTGAATTATTAATATCAGACACAGTAGGTTTCAGAACAAAAAATACGACAAGGGATAAAGCAGGTCATTTCATAATGATAAAACAGCTAATTTATTAAGAAGACAAAACAATCCTAAAGGTTTGTGAATTTAAGAACAGACCTTCAAAACAAAAGAAGCAAAAACTGACAGGATTGCAAAACAAAATAAACCTAACTGGAATGTAAAATGGTACAGCCACTTCGGAAAATTGTCTGATAGTTTTACACAAAGGTTAAAAATAAAGTTACCACGTGTTAGTTGCTCAGCTGTGTCCAACTCTTTGCGACCCCATGGACTGTAGCCCACCAGGCTCCTCTGTCCATGGAATTGTCCAGGCAAGAACACTGGAGTGGGTAGCCACCCCCTTCCCCAGGGGAATCTTCCCATGTATCGAACCCAGTTCTCCTGTGTTGCAGGCAGATTCTTTACCATCTGAGCCACCAGGTAAGCCCATATGTAAGTTACCATATGACCCAAAAATTCCAATCCTAGATGTATACCCAGGAGAAATGAAACCATACATTCACACAAAAACCTGTATACAAATATCTAACGTAGCATTATTCACAAATGCCAAAAAGTGGAGAAAACCTAATGTTCATAAACTAATGAATGGATAAAATATGGTACAGTTCACATACTGGTACAGGCTCAAACACAGATGAACCTTGAAAATAATATGCTTAGTGAAAGAAACCATTCACAAAGACCACATATTGTATTCCACTTCTATAAAATGTCCAGAACAGGCAAATCTATGAGAGAAAAGACAGATGAGTGGTTGTATACGGCTGGGATGGTAGGGAGAAAGGGAGGCCTGCTCATGGACACTGGGTTTTTTCTGAAATGATGAAGTGTTCTAAAACTAATCATGGTCATGTTTGCACAACTCTGTGAATATACTAAGAAACACTGAACTGTACACTTTAAATGGATAAACTGTATATTATGCAAGTTATATCTCAATAAAGTTAGTTTTAAAAAGGCAGTCCCACAGATACATGCAGAGATTTCAAGACCTCTCTCTCAACTGATGAAATAGGTACAAAAAATTGGCAAAGGAGACCTGAACAACATTATCAACAAAACTGACCTAGATATTTTCTCAAGAGAAATGAAAACATATGTTCAAAACAAAGACAAATGTTCATGGTGCCTTTATTCATAACAGAGAAACTGGAAACAAACATCTGTCAACAACTGGAAGGATGAACACACTGAGCTACATGCATATGACAGAGTACTCCTAAAGACAATAGAAAAAGAAGGAACTATGAACATACACAGTGATTCAGTGAACCTCAAAATAATTATGCTAAGTGAAAGAGGCTAAACATTACATAATTTACATTAATTATATTATTCCATATACAGAGAATTCTGAAAATGCTAACTAGTATGTAGTGGCAGCAGAACAGTGATAACCCGGGAAGGGGAAATGGGAAGAGTAGAAAGAAGGATGACAGAAGAGAATGTAAAACTTTTGGATGCAATCGATACTTTCATTATCTTGATTGTTGTGATGATTTCATAGGTATAAACACATGTCAAAATATATCAATGTATATATTTTAGATATGTGCAATTTATTGAAAATCAATAACACTTCAACAAAGGTATTAAAAATGCAAGTGCTTGAGCTTCAGCTTATTACTGAATTGGTCTGAAGCCTAAGCATTGGTAGCTTCTTTAAAGCCACCCCTCCCAACTGCATCTACCCTGGTGATACTCTGCTCCCTCAAAACACACGATTGTCCTTGGGGAAGAGAATGGGATGAGGGAGTTTAGATGAGAAATCATTTCTTTGCATCATAAGTTTTATCTCTAAAAACTCTTGAATATTACAGAAACTAACTTCTTAAGGTGCCACACCAACATCACAAATAACAGTGATTAGAAAACTATTAAAGTTGGATAGATTTAACTTTGTAGAAGGTATGTTCTCACGTGAGCTTATTTCCTTCCTAATCTTATCTTCTCCAGAGAACATTTCTATTTTGTCTCTTAAGACCTGAAAATATTTTAACATAGTAACACAGCTTATGGATGAAATGATTTAATTATCCACATACAACTTCTACTATTTTCCACACTGTGAAATTCAAACAAATATCTGTATACATCATCATTCCTAAATTTCTAAATTTTCATTAAAATTTGGAATTTCAGTAAATCTAAAAAAATTAATCCAGGGTAGCTAGGATTTATATCAGCACATTTTTACAATGCTGGCAAAAGTGGACCTTAAACATAAAGGTTCTCACAATCATTTTTTGCTTAGCCTTCTGTTAAATAAGAGAACTGCAGATTTTTTTTTACTCTAACCATCTCTGAGACAATATTATATAGATGGAAAAAAGGAAACAGTTTTCTCAATACAACCACAGTTCTCTATAATCCTTCACTTAGAATCTCAACAATGAGGTGCTTCTCTAGAGCAACACACAGAAGTATCACTGACAAGACAAACTAAAAATATAAAATTTTTTCAAAACCTTGCTTTAGTTAAAACTCCTCTAAAACTTCTAAGAATATACCAATATTCATATGTAAAGCGGAACTTATTTTCTTTCCAGTATGTAATGTCATGCTCAAAATAATATTTCAATATTCCACCACAAGCTAATTTTACCTATGTGATCAAAATAAAAATGATGAGAGAAGAATTTTTAAAAAACTATTTTATGCTTAAGTATAGGATGTTTTTCTTCTTTTGAAATTTGATTCTCACAGAATCAATTCACAAAACAAATAATTTAATATGATACCTATGAAATTTAATATGATATCTATGAAAAGAAAACATAAATATAACCAATTTCTACCCCATACATTAAACTCACTTACATGACAATAATTACATTTAACTTTCAAAAAATTCACACTAAAAGATGTAAGTTAAAAACAAATTACCCTTATTCCTTTACAAAGGAATCTAAATATTAATTTCTGTTTTTCTTATTACAATAACTCTTATTTTTCCTTAAACAACTCATATCAAGTTTCATCTATATCTAATCTTACTCTAAGATATATGATTTGGCCTAATCCTGGTGGCTCAGTGGTAAAGAATCTACCTCAATGCAGGAGACACAGATTTGACCCCTGGGTCAGGAAGATCCCTTGGAGGAGGGCATGGCAACCAACTCCAGTAGTCTTGCCAAGAAAATGTCACGGACAGAGGAGCCTGGCTGGCGACCATGGGGTCACAAGAGTCAGGCACAACTGAAGCTACTGAGCACACACACATGCACCATCTGCTGACATCATCTTTCAGCATCACAAAGCACTAAGTTTAAAAAGAAATTATAGTATATGGTGGCCATTTAAAAATGAAAATTGGAATGACTTTTCTCAATAGCTTTTTATGTGGAGCTACTCCTTCTGAAAATTACTTTTTAAAAATGCCAGCATGACCTATTCTGAACCATCCTCAGGCCAAGCTATCTTACTACTTAAGTGGAAAAGAGAAAGACATGAGCAGAATTAACTGTTCATCCAAAAACATAATCCTATAAATAATTTCAAGTCAATGCATTTTTAAAGATTCAGCAATAGGGATGACAAATTTCATCTTAAAGACCAATTCCAAACGATAACTATCTAAAGTATTCTGTTAAGAGAATTTTAAAACTAAGTTCATTACGCACCATTTCCCAACAGAGTGGTAGATGTTGCATAGAAGATATTAATGCTATAGTTTCTTAATGCTAAAGAACATTTGACCAAATCATACAAAAACTAACTGATTTTGAGCAAGTTACTTGACTCTCACAGTCTCATTTCCACCCTCTACAAAATAAGAATCTTAACTACATCCAAAGTTTGCTATAAGAACAACATGTTAACATAAAATAACATATAAAATGCAACGCTTAAAAGTGCTCTGTAAAGTGTAGAGAAATGCATTATTGGAATTTTTGCTTCTTTAATATAATCTACTCAGAATTCTGAGAAGTTGTTCTTACCAAGTGAGCAGCACTCACATTTGAAATATCTGAAGGATCCATTTCACTTTCTATTCTTGCTTTTTCTGCTGAAAATCTGTCTTCACTTGCTTGCAAAGGAGGTGTGTCAGCTTGCTGAATAACTGAAACACACTCTGTATCAATGTGAACAGCAGGTATTTCAGAAGTTGGAACAGAATTGTCTGGTAAGAAACTACTCCCAGAGTTCTTGACATCTTCCAGTGTACTCACTGTGAACTAACAAAACATATTGTAGAATGAATCAGAGGTAACAAAAAATACTCACCAACTATTTCACTCTAGAAAAGCTGATTCTGCTTAACCCACCAACTGTGAAGCAGCAGTTGGCTGGCTAACAGACCAATCACTCATTATTTTGGTACATTTTAAGTGTTAGAAAAGAAATGTTAAGAAGCCACAAATTTTATTTACATATCTACTATGTTTAAGGGTACTGAAGTGCTTTAAGAAATTAAGCAATATATGTTACAATTATGTTTGATTTTGGTAGGCTGATTCCTGATAGCTATACTATATGCTTCACAAAAGAAATCTAGTCACAAATATAATAAATATTATGCTTTATGTTCAAATAACTAAAGGTATTTACATAGTTTTTATGAAAACTAATATCAAATGAAGGCACTTCTCATTAAAGGCATTTTACTCAAAACATGGAACTCACTCTCTTTACATAACATTAATACAACCTCAATGCATCTTTCATGAAGACTCACATGATACATAATACCAAATCTTAGATCTAAAAGAGAAATATACCATTAAAAAGTAGAGCATGTGTCAGCAAGCAATTTCCTTAAGCAATTCATATTCTTTAGACTTCAATAGCCTCTCCATTCCCCTTTAAGAATATTTAACACAAAAGCAACAGAAATGTGAAAACCATCTAGAACAAATACAACTTTTGCTTAGGTCAAATATGTTACATCTTTTAAAAATTTTAGAGTTTAGTGAACAGAACAGGACTTTATTTTCACTTTCTAACAGAGTACAGAAATAATGGGGCTATGCTTTTCAGTACTCAGAGTAATGAACTCCACGGAGAAGAACGAAAATCTAAAGTTGTTAATTTAAAACTCACTCACACCACTACTTAAATAAACATCAGATAAACACTGCAGTGACCATAAAAACCCCAGTTTGATATAGTATTTATGTAAATATTAAACTTGGCCAAGTCTTATAAACTACTTTAAAAATTCTACTATTGGTTATAACTTTAAAGTGTCCCAAAGTGTTCATTTTAGCATACACATTATTCAAATAGCATCACAATGTTTATATTGCTATCAACATTATCCATGCATCAGTCATCATGGTTTATAATCTTCTCGGTAATATTTATATTAGCATTACTGATCTTTACAATATAGTCAATCCTGTTTATTAAAAAACCAGTATCAACTTAAATAACAGAATCAAAGCTAAACTATAAAGTAATGGTGAAAATATATGAATATGCTAATTCCATTTTCAGAATGAGAGTGGAGAAAACACAGCTATTAATATTAGCTTGGCCACCATAAGCAGTGAACTTTTATACTGAAATAATTCAGCAATAATTACTCATACGCTCTATGTATAGACTATTTCTAAAATCTCAAAATCATATAAGCTTATTCTTTGCACAAAATTAGCACTTTTTTTATAATGTTAAATTTTATAGTTAAAATATATGTTAGCAAAAATGCTAAATGTTGGTTAAGTGATGTAAAAAGTAATTTCTTCATCAAACTTACCTATATTTAAAAGTTTCTTAAAGTTTTACCCAACAGTTATGTACTGATAAACTTTATGTGCCTATGACTCTGCTCCATATTATGGGAAATTAAAAGGCAATATGGGCTTCCCTGGTGGCTCAGACGGTAAAGAATCCACCTGCAATGCATGAGACCTGGGTTCGATTCCATGGTTGGGAAGATAACTTGGAGAATGGAATGGTTACCTACTCTAGTATTCCTGCTCGGAGAATCCTATAGATAGAGGAGCCTGGCAGGCTACAGTCCATGGGGTCACAAAGAGTTGGACACGACTAAGTGACTTTCACTTTCACACTTTCATAAGATACTACCCACAAGGAGTTTTCAATCTCATGTGGGAGTAAAACATATACACATTAAACAGTTCTAAAACATTAAGAATAATGCAGGATTAAGAGCTATTATTATCATTAAGAAAAAAAAATGGAGTCTAAAAAAAAAAGAAATATTCTACAGGTAAAAGAAGAAAATTTTAAAAAAGTAGTATTCTGGACTGAGAAATATTACAGTTATTTTACAACTTTTTTACTTAGTCTCTGTACCCATATCAAACAATCTCTTATATTTCACTAATGACTTTGCAGAAAACTATACTAAGTGAACAAAAATCTTTCTGTAAACAAATATCTTTCAAAAATGCATCGCTAAACCAAACAAGTAAAATAAACTTCAAATGGACTAAAAGAAGTACTGGGAATATTAATCTTAAGGAATTATGTTAAATATTAGCTAGTCACTCTATACTTGGACTATAGAAAACAAAAGTAGAGCAAGTGAAAAATGATTACTTTCATCACTTTAAAGAACGCTACAAATGAAGCAGGAGGACACCACTTTAACGAAGAAATCAAAGTCAACAAACATGGGCAAATTGGTATGATATGTCTTTAGATGTGAGGTTGACAATTTCTTTATTTTTGTCCAAAATGCATAAGCTAAAGTGAATAATGAATAAAGAAACTGAAAAACACTGTACCAAAAAAATCTGCAATGTGTTCTTCAAAAAAATGAATGTCATGAAAAATAAAGACAGGGTGAGTAACTGATGCTGGTCAAAGATATTAAAGAAACAAAGTCAAATACAATGTATGATTCTAAGCATCGTGGATCAGGGAAAAAATTTCTGTGAAGAAATTACTGGGGCAACTGGAATTTTTGAAAATCAGACTATAAGTTTAGATAACAAATTATATAAATGTCAAATTCCCTGAATTTTATTATTATAATATGATTATGGAAAAGAGTTTTCTGTTCTTTGGATATACATGCTGTAGAATTTAAAGGTGAATGGCTGTGATGTTTGTACATTACTTTCAAAAGTAACATGTAAATAAAGAGAGAAAAGGAACTGTGGCAAAATGTTAATCTGTGAATCTAGGAAAAGGGTACTGGACGGTTCATTATTCTGTTCTTGCAACTTTTCTATAGGTCTGAAACTTTTCACAATAAAAGTAAAACAATGAAGTAGAAAAATTAAGACATTCCTACATATATATATCTCCCATATAAAAAGCAGTAAAAGGACTTTCAGAATGTACTACCTGGGTTCTTTCAGCAAGAGGATGATCACATGAGTGTACTGGGTCCTTGGGCCCAGATTCTATAGTATTAGAAGGTTCATCTCCAACAAATTCACTTTTCTGTACACTTTCGTCAGGCAAAAGATGTACATTTTCTTTATCACTGTCATCCTTTGATCTTAATGCTTCTGTTGGTAATGAAGCTTTTGGCATCACTGCTGTTGATCGTGAACGAACAGGCCTTCCTCTCTGAACAGTTTCCCATCCTTCAGCATCTTTCCGTTCTATGCAGTTGAGAGAAGAAAACAAATTAAGAATTATTTAGAAGATATAAATTTTCAAAAACCTATAAAATAAAAATATTTTACAATCTAATTCTCATTGACTGTAACTAAGATATAAACATGACACTAATTACTATGCAAAGTGCATTCACGTGTGTGTGTGTATATGTGTGTATTATCTAATTCCTATGACCACACAGGGTAGGTATAATTATCCCTATCTTACAAATGATAAAACTGAGATTAAGACTGACCTAAGGCCCCACAGTCAGAAAGTAATAACATTTATATAATGTATACCATTACTGGTCGGGGCATAGACTTGGATTACTGTGATACTGAATGGTTTGCCTTGGAAAGGAAGAGAGACCATTCTGTTGTTTTTGAGACTGCATCCAAGTACTGCATTTCGGACACTTCTGTTGACTATGATGGCTACTCCATTTCTTCTGAGGGATTCTTGCTCACAGTAGTAGATATAACGGTCATCTGAGTTAAATTCACCCATTCCAGTCCATTTTAGTTCACTGATTCCTAAAATGTCGATGTTCACTCTTGCCATCTCCTGTTTGACCACTCCCAATTTGCCTTGTTTCATGGACCTGACAGTCCAGGTTCCTATGCAGTATTGCTCTTTACAGCATCAGACTTAACTTCCATCACCAGTCACATCCACAACTGGATACTGTTTTTGCTTTGGCTCCATCTCTTCACTCTTTCTGGAGTTATTTCTCCACTGATCTCCAGTAGCATATTAGGTACCTACTGACCTAGGGAGTTCATCTTTCAGTGTCCTATCTTTTTGCCTTTTCATGCTCTTCATGGTGTTCTCAAGGCAAGAATACTGAAGTGGTTTGCCATTCGCTTCTCCAGTGGACCACGTTTTGTCAGAACTCTCCACCATGACCTGTCTATCTTGGGTAGCTCTACANTTGGGAAAGATTGAAGGCGGGAGGAGAAGGGGACGACAGAAGATGAGATGGTTGGATGGCATCACTGACTTGATGGACAAGAGTTTGAGCAAGCTCCGGGAGTTGGTGATAGACAGGGAAGCCTGGTGTGCTGCGGTCCACGGGGTTGCAAAGAGTCGGACACAACTGAGCAACTGAACTGAACTGAATGTATACTATGTGCTACCACTGTTATAAATGCCTTAGATATAACTCTTAATCTTCCCCTAAGATCAGTACTATCATTCCCATATTACCAATGAGGAAACTGAGACAAAAGGTAAAGCCAAGATGTAAGTCCAGGCAAATCGGTTCTGATGTCAATGGTCTAATGGATATGTAAAAACTGCCTCTTCATCTTTTAGAATCCAAACATAGGCCTACCTCCAAAGTTCAAGTACTTTTCCCCTTAGTATCAAAAGTATACCCTGACTTAGCAAAAAAGGAAAAAAAAAACTATTTTAATGATCATAAGATTATAGAATGTTAATTGAATGAACACTTGAGGACCTAGTTCAGTATTTTACCATACACATAAAAAAATGAGGGCCTATGTCTAAAGACACAGAGCAAAATAGCCTAAAATAAATATGAATCTTCTACTACGTTTCAAAATGTCACAACCTGAGGTATACACCTATACAGTTAATAGCAATAATTTTTAAGTTTATAGGCTAAAATGTAGTGTGTCAACATGAAGATATCTAGTTCTGGCCAAGATGGAGTAGCCTGACTTGCATTTCCAGGTCCTCCTTCTTACAACTAAGAACTCTGGAAAAACACACAAAATAAGCACAGGAAGATTTTAAAAGACAGAAAGAGAGAGGTGGACTGCCTAGTGACCCTGGGAGTTAAAAGCAGCATAGAAATGAGTTCTCTGTGTTTCCTAATTGCTTTCTATACATGACAGGATGGTACAAAGGCCTCCAACCCAGAAAGAACAAATGATACAGACAAAACAGGCATCAGCAAAGCTTGTTTTGCCAAGCCGAAAGGCAGAGGAAACGATGACCTAAGAAAATAATCATTTTGGCAATCCTCGTTCTATTCAGCCAAGCATCAGGGGAAAACTTGCACCTTATGGTTTCAATAGGGCTAAGTAGAGAGTTGAACTTCCACTGCCCACGTGGTAGAAACAGATGGTCCGACTCCCTCACCAAAACAGTGTCAGCAAAGTTGAAGAGTGAGCTGAGTTTCTCCCTCCAAATGACATTAAACAAGGCAGTAGGAGCTAGAGTTAGTCAGCACTCTACTTTTCCCCAACCCTAGTGTCAGTGGGAAACTGAACTTTCATACCCACTGAGCAGCAGTGAGACTTAATGAGGCAGTGAGAGTCAGAAGTGGTAGACACTGATCCGCCCCACGCACAGTCATAAGGGTCCGATGCTGGGCACAGCCTCCACCTTCATCCAACATCAAAGACACACAGAATGAGTCAATATTCTGATCTCCCTCACCCGCAGTGTTAGCAGATCCCATATAGAAAGCTGAGCTTTCACCCTCACCAACATCATTGCCACAGAGTAGATTAGTAGAAGACACATTTACTCAGCACATGGATCCCATCTCACCTGTGATGACGCCGGCAGGACCCATCAGAAAGCTAAGATTCCACTCCACCTCACACAGGTAAGTCAGGACTCAGTCCTCCCTTCACGCTGCCCCTCCCTTGTGTCAGTGGGGGCACAGAAGAGAACGAATAAAAACTTTCCAAACTTAGTGAAAGATATAAAACTAAAGGAACTAAAAAGGTATAAAACTAAGAGAACTAAGAAATCCAAAGAAACTGATGCTAAAACACATCATAATGAAACCTCTGAAAACAAAAAACAAAGAAAAATTCTTAGAAGAAGCTGTGGGGGTGGGGACAAGAAGCCATAGGGAAAAGATAAATTATCTATAGCAGAACATCAGTTTTAACGACAGCAAATTACTCCTCTGAAACACTGAAGGCCTGGAGGAAATGGCACAACTTTCAAGGACTGAAAGAATTATCAATCGCAAATTCTATAATCAGTGAAACTATGCTTCAGGAATGAAGAATAAATAAGGCATTCTCAGATGAAAAGAAAACTAAGCAAATGTGTCACTAGCAAACCAGCCCTTAAAGGATGACCAAAGGAAATTCCCTAAAGAGAAACTAAATAAGTTTTAAAAAGAAGAACATGGACCAAATTTTCCAACCAAAAGACTTAAGAGTGGCATACGAGATAATAAAACAAAGCATACAGTTATAACTGGAAATGGAACAACAGACTGGTTCCAAATAGGAAAAGGAGTACGTCAAGGCTGTATATTGTCACCATGCTTATTTCACTTATATGCAGAGTACATCATGAGAAANATGCTGACGCTAAAGCTCCAATACTTTGGACACCTGATGCAAAGAGCTGACTCACTAGAAAAGACCCTGATGTTGGGAAAGACTGAAGGCAGGAGGAGAAGGGGATGACAGAGGATGAGATGGTTGGATGGCATCACCGACTCAATGGACATGAGTTTGAGCAAGCTCCAGGAGATGGTGAAGGACAGGGAAGCTTGGTATGCTACAGTCCATGGGGTCACAAAGAGTCAGACACAACCGAGCGACTGAACAATAGGCCATGCCATTATATGATTCACTACGTGGAAGATATTTTATTTCAAGGGAAAAAAATACTTACAAAATGCTCATTCCTGTGACTAATATATTAACTCATTATCTTATTGTTTAAATATTGTGACTATGTTACTACATTTATTTATACTTTAAAATAAGGACTAGATGGAACCTATAATCTTTTATTTGAAAAATATGCATTTTGAAATCTGCAAGGGGAAAGCACACTTAGATTTTTTGTTGTTTTCTTAAACTTTTTACTATTTTTTCATTATTTTATCATTTATTATATTTACACATTTTATTACGAAGATTTTCAAATATAGTACACAGAAAATAGTATTATGAACTCCCTGCTCTAATCACTAAGCTTCAGTAATTGTCAACATTCTCCTGCTCTTATTTCATTTCTTCTTCCCTATTGTTTTTTCTGAAATATTTTTTGAAATTTTACTTATTTTGGCAGCCCTAGGTCTCCGCTGCTGTGAAGGCTCTTCTCCAGCTGCGGAGAGCGGGGTTACTCTCTAGTTGAGGTACCTGGGTTTCTCGCCGCTGTGGCTTCTCCTCTTGTGGAGCATGGGCACCAGGGTGTCGGAGTCTCGGGAGCTGTAGCCCGTGGGCTCAGGAGCTGTGGCTCCGGGCTCTAGAGCACAGGCTCCGGAGTTGTGGTGCACGGGCTTAGCTGCTCCGCAGCATGTGGGACCATCCCAAATCAGGGATCAAACCTGTGTCTCTTGCTTTGGAAGGCAGATTTTTTTTTTAACCACAGAGCCACCAGGGAAGCCCTGTAATATTTTAAAAGAAATCCTAGAAACATCACTTCTCCTGGAAATATTCAGTATGTGTCCTTTTTTTAATGTACTTTTTTAAAGCACTGGGTTTTTTCTGTCTGGCTTTGCTGGCTCTTTGTGCCATGCAAGCTCTTCTCCAGTTGCAGTGAGCAGCGCCTCTTTCGTTGTGGTGCACCGGCTTCTCACCGCAGTGGCCTCTCTTGTGGAGCTCAAGAGAAGGGCGCATGTGGCTTCAATAGTTGAGGCACGTGGGCTCTGGATCACAGGCCCAAACAGCTGTGACACAGAGGCTTAGTCGCTCTGCAGCATGTGGGATCTTCCCCGATCAGGGATCAAAACCTGTGTCTCCTACATTGGCAGGCAGAATTTTTACCACTGAGCCACCAGGGAAACCCAGTGTGTGTCTTTAAAAGATAGAACTTTTAAAATGTAACAACATCATTAACATAACCAACAAAATTACTAATAATACCTTAAATCATATACCGTCCAGTCATATTCAATTTTAATCCATGTTTAACTCTTTAAAAATTTATTTATCTCTGTTCTATACTTCAAGTATATATAAAAAATTATAAAATTATAAAATCAACCTCATAAAAATCAAATATACAAAAAGAAAAAAACAACTAAATTATGAAATTAAGTTTAACAAAAGATTTTTGATTCCAGATAATTTAACTGGCTCACCCTTAGGAACACTATGATTAATTACTTTATAAAGAAAAACAGCCTTTTTGAAAGCTTCTTTATAGAAAAAAATACTGCTTAAAACTTGGACCTAATCCAGTAACCAATAAGATGGCCAATACAAACATTATCACGCAATTTTTTTAAAAACCTGAAATAAATGAAGCAATTCAAAAGAAGAGTATATCAAAATGGAAACTATAACACAGGTCTATTAAACACTAAGAAATTATTTGTGGACAAATTACATCTTTAATGAAAATTTCAGTAAAAACTATATCGAAAAATCATTCCCATAAATAAGGATACTTCTTAAAAACAGTAAATCATTATTTAAACTATCAGAGAACTTCTAAATACTTAAAAATAATTTTAGAGATGTGCCCAAAGCTCAAAACTATATTTCACACCACCATTTTTACACTCCAGAATTTTCACAAATGTCATTAGTAAAGTAGTACAAAATTCAAGTCAATACAACCAATAATTTCAAAAGCACTATGATAATCTTAACCTGTTTTTTGTTATTTTTTTTATTTATCATTATATTTAATTCACTAATATTTTGTTCAATGTTCAAGATAAAATGTTGCTTTATTGTAATATCCTTTTAGGTTTTGATATTAAGGTTATAAAATGATCTCTCTTTTATTCTGAGGAAGAGTTTCTTTAAGATTGAAGCTATCTTTACCTAAAATCTTTGGAAGACTTCACAGGTGAAGCCATCGTGACCTGGAATTTTCTTTATGAAAAAATGCTTCATTATTAACCCATATTCTCTTTTATACTTATAAGTTCCTTCAAGTTTTTCTAATTCTTGCTATGCAATTTTTGTTATATTTTTCAAGTATTTATCAATTTCTTCTAAGTTTCTAAGTTTAGTGTATAATATTGGTCATAATTTTAATATTTGTGGGATCTCTAACAATGCCCTTGTTTCATTCCTGGTACTAGGCCTTGTCTCCTCTTTTTCTTGCTATCACTAGAAATTTGTTAATTTTATTAGTCTATTTGAACAACTACATTTTGGCTTTGTTAATTTCTCTGTGTTCTCACCTATAAACCTTTTCCTTCCATGTTCCTTGGGTCTAACTTGTTCTTTTCTAATTTCTTGAAATGGACAAAATGTGGATTATAGGTTTTCCTCTTTTCTAGTTGGTATAATTGAGGCTAGAAATTTTCCTCAAAGCATAGCTTTAACCAGACCCAAAGATTTTTAAATGTTCATTTTTCTTTCTAATTTCATCATGACTTCTTCCCTGACTCGTGGACTTTTCAGAAATATATTCCAAAGTTATAAAAATTTGAGAATTGCATGGTTATCTTTTTATAATTAATTTCTAGCTTCATTCCACCGTGTTCAGACAGAAGGAGTTCAATCACCCAACAGCTGTTGAAACGTTTAATGGCTCAGCATGTGTCAATTTTGGTAAATATTCCATGTGTGCTTGAATATGTATTTCAATTTACAGTTACAGCCATAAGAAAGTAAGCAGCCTGTATTAAAATTAATCTTCCTGTCAAACACAACTACAAGAGCTAGACAAAATAAATAAATGAACTGTTTAAAGGCACCGGAAAGCAACCAATATAGGCAAGATTTGAGGAATTACAATTCCTGAGAAAAGAGGCAACAATATGAGATCCACATTCACCCTAGAACTTTCCCTGAAGACTGCTGGAATTCACAGTGCAGGCAAAGTGACTCCTTGCAGAAACCACCAGCCCTATCTAGCTCAGACAGATACTGGAGTTCATTGAATCTAAAGCAACTGGGACGTCAAGGAAAAATAATCATGGAGACCTGGGAATTGAAGAAGAGTAAGCCAAAAAAAATCTGCATTCAATCTTCCCTTAAGAAGTCTGACAACTGCTAAGCTTTGCATATACAAGGCAAGACTCCAAGAAACCCAGAAGAAAACAGCAGCTGGGGTGCTAACGAGCTAAGCAGATATTGTAGCAACTGTACGGGGCTGAGGAAACAAAAGCTGGAATTCAGGAATGAAGTGGTCTTGGCAAACACCCCAGGTTTTCAGTTAAGACCCCAAAAGGAACAAGAAAAAACTAAAACATATCAACTTTAATAAAACCTCAAGGCAACCCTGACAGGATTAAGGTGCTCTGTTTGTTCTCTTATTGCCATAAAAAAAATACATTTTTAGAAAAAGCCCCTGTAACTTTTAATACACAATGTTAAACATTCAATTAAATATAGCTGCATACTAATAAAATAACTGAATAATAAATGAACAACAAAAAACCGAAAACTCCCCAAAAATGTTTTTCAAAGTTAACAAATCCATGGATAGTTCTGACATTTCACTTCTCAGACACAAAATTTCTAAATAGCTGTTATTAATATATTCAAGAAAATATGGGTTAGACATAGAACAGAGGATTAGTGCAATAACTAAAATACATATCAATAAAAAATTTCCAGACTGAAATGGAAAAGAGTCCATCGGAATGGAAAAGAGAAAGCATTATTTGTCAGATGTATCAATTACATAAAGTTAACTAATCAAGTTGTTTGGATATTTTTATATTTACTGATCTTTATCTATATATACTATCAGTTGAGATAGTTATGTTAAAATCTCCCAGTATAAATATAGACTTTTTTCAATTTTTCCTTTCACTCCTGCCTGGTTTTGCTTTATATGTTTTAAAGATATGTATATATATATGTTTATATCTAAAGCAATTTAAAATTACTTTATCTTTCTGATGAGATGACCCTTTAGTACTTAAAAATAAAAATCTCTCTTTAAAATGCTTCCTATCTACTCCATTTTGTCTGGTTATTCTAAAAATACTAGTTTTGATTTGAATAGGGTATGTATAGAATATCTTTCATCTTTCCCTGTCTTTTTCTTTTGACTTTTCCATGTCTTCATATGGAAGGTACATCTCTTGTAAGTAGAATACAGGTTTATTTTTTTAAAATGGCTTTATAATTTTTGTTTTTAAAATTTAGTATTTAGACCATTTATATTTAATGTAGGGACTGATAGAATTGCATTTACTTCTAATACACTATGGTTTGTTTTTTATTTGTCTTATCTGTTTTGTGTTTCTTTTTTCCTCTTCTCTGGTTTTCTTTTGGATTAATCAAAAGGATTATTAGTTGAACATTCTTTTATTCTTCTCTTTTGCTTTCTTGAGTTTATAACACATCCTTGACTTATATCTAATACAAATTATTTTGTAACTTCCTAGATAATGCTAGTTCACTTTCATGCATTGGAGAAGGAAATGGCAACCCACTCCAGTGTTCTTGCCTGGAGAGTCCCAGGGATGGCGGAGCCTGGTGGGCTGCCGTCTATGGGGAAGCACAGAGTCGGACACGACTGAAGCGACTTAGCAGCAGCAGCAGCAGATAATGCTAGAACCTAGATAATATAAACTCCATTTTTCTGCTTTTATCTTTTGAATTATTGTCATAAATTTTCATTCTACATACATGTCAAGCTCCACAAGACATTGTTCCATACAGTCAATACACATTTAATGTTATCTACATGTCTACTCCTTCCAGTGTTCTTCATTCCTTCACGTATTTTTGGGTTTCTATCTGGGATCATTTATGTGCCTGAGGAACTCTGCAGCATTTCTTTTAGTGTAAGTCTGCTAATTACAAATTCTCTCCTTTTTTATTTATCTAGAATTACCTTTATGTCACCTTCATTTTGAAGGTTATTTTTGCTGGATGTAGAATTCTATCTTGCCAGTTATTTTCTTTCAGCACCTTAAAAGATCTCATTCTACTCGCATCTGGCTTTTATCTGCTATGAGTTTACTGTTGCTCCTTTGAAAAGTCTTTTTTTTTAAAAAGTCTTTCTTTGGCCGGAGCCTGCGACCGAGTGGGAGTGGAGTAGGGCGGCCGTCGGTGCCGACTCTTTCCTCCTGCCCACGGTCCAGTCAGCGGGTTGATTAGGCCATCGGCCCTCAAGCCGAGACTTGTCTCTTATTTAGTTCTGGGGAGCGCCTGGCCGACATGAGTGATGCAGAGGAGAACAACTTCGAGGGCAGAGAGTCTCGCTCTCAGTCAAAATCTCCAACGGGAACTCCTGCTCGTGTAAAATCGGAGAGCAGGTCAGGATCTCGTAGTCCATCAAGGGTTTCCAAACACTCTGAATCCCATTCTCGATCAAGATCAAAATCCAGGTCGAGGTCAAGGAGGCATTCTCATAGACGTTACACTCGATCCAGATCCCATTCTCACTCTCATAGGAGACGGTCTCGAAGTAGGTCATACACACCAGAATACCGGCGTCGAAGGAGCCGAAGTCATTCGCCAATGTCTAACGGGAGAAGACATACAGGCAGCAGGGCAAATCCTGATCCCAATACTTGTCTAGGAGTGTTTGGCCTCAGTTTGTACACAACAGAGAGAGATCTTCGCGAAGTATTTTCTCAATATGGACCGTTGAGTGGTGTCAATGTGGTTTATGACCAGCGAACTGGACGGTCACAAGGATTTGCTTTTGTTTATTTCGAGAGAATAGATGACTCAAAGGAGGCTATGGAAAGCGCAAATGGAATGGAACTGCATGGTAGAAGAATTCGGGTGGATTATTGTATCACCAAGAGAGCACACACACCAACACCAGGCATATACATGGGCAGACCAACTCACAGTGGCGGCGGTGGCGGCAGCGGCGGGGGCGGCATTTTTTTTTTTAGAAATGAAAAGCTTGTGGACTCCTGCAAAACATGTTGTATTTAAAATACATTTGTTGAAACTTAAAAAAAAAAAAAGTCTTTTTTTAAAACTCTGATTATTTGCAGAGATTTTCTAGTATTTTTTTTAGTATTTTCAGTATATTGCATCTAGATGAGATTTATTTTGTATTTTTCCTACTTAGAGGTTTACAGCATTTCTTGAATATAAGACTTTTATGTCTTTTGCAGTTTGGGAAAATCTTCAGTGATTATTACCTCCTCAAATGTTGCTTTTGCACCATTCACTCCATCCCTTCACAGACTCCATTTACGTGTGTGCCTCTTATGCTCTTCGCTGCATTCTATTTTTCTTTTTTTTAAATTTTCTTTATATCCTTTATTTTCTTTATATTCTTTTCTATTCTATAAAGTGATAGAACTTTGGAATCTCTTCATGATTTAACCTCAGCATTTTCTACTGACTTAGAATTAATTCAATACCAAGTTTCTTAAAATTTTAAATCTCTTCTAACATGTGCAACCACATTAGCTGCTTTAAGAATTTCACTTATTTTTTTGGATTCCTCTCTTACAAAGCACTGTGACCATAAAAAAATCTGGATTGGTTGCTCCCTAGACATGCACACTGCAAATATCCTGGGATCACCACCACAAAATTATTACCTTTGCCTCTTTCTGTAGTAGTGACAGTGTTGATGAAGTTAAAAAAAAAATGTTAAGACCTTGCATGTTTGAAATGTCTTTAATCGACTCTCACATCTAATGGATAATTTGGCTGGACATAGGATTTTAGCTTTGAAATTACCTTTCTCCAGAATTTTGAAGACACTGTTCAATTTTCTTGTGGCTTCTGGTAATTCTGCAAAAGTTGATTTTTTTTTTATTGATTCAGAATCAATTCTGATTCTTGGTCATTTGTATATAAACTGTTCTTTTCTATTTTTAGAGCCTCTCATCATCTGTATTACTCATAAATTTCCCAACAAATTTTGATGTCACTCTACTTTCATCCATTATACTGGACATTTAATGAATGGCCCTTATGGTTAAAAGCTTATTATCTTCATGTTAAACAAAAGTTTCTTTAATTATTTCATGACTTCTTCCTTTATCTTTCTATAACCCATTATTATTCAAATAGGGGATAGTCTCATTAACTATTTTTATATAAGAAAACTAAAACTTAACATCTTAAAATACTAATCATCTTATTTCCTGAAAGTCTTTGAGTCAGGAATCTGAAGAGTGCTCAGTTTCTGTGGGGGAGGTATAGAGGGTACTCTTCTCATCTCCACCTGGTGTCAGCGAGGGTTATTCAACTCAAATCAGAGAGTGCATGATAGCCTCACCACATTCCTACAGTTTTGATATTAGTTACTGACTTGAGATAGTTCTTCCCCTGGCCACTTTCTCTTCATATGGTCTCTCATTATTCAGCAGCCTATCTTGGGCTTCTTTACAGGGCAGTTGGCTTCTAACAAGAAAACTGACGCTGCAAGGACTCTTTACCAGGTACATTGGGAATTTACTAAATGTCACTCTACATACATTCTACTGATCATATCAAGTCACAGGACCAACCAAAGACTTATGGGGAGAAAAACAGACTCTACTACTTGACAGTGGGAATGGTGTGCATGCACATGGATGAGAGAAGTTGTCCAGACCCATTTTCGCAACAATCTACCACAATTCACAACCTAGCTTCAAATTGCCAAAGTCTTCCAAAACTACCAGACATTCATCCAATTACAGAATCAGCCTCAAAGACCAGTATCTCATGATCTATACCAGATCTGTGGAGAAGGCAATGGTACCCCACTCCAGTACTCTTGCCTGGAAAATTCCATGGACGGAAGAGCCTGGTAGGCTGCAGTCCATGGAGTCATGAAGAGTTGGACATGACTGAGCGACTTCACTTTCACTTTTCACTTTTCATGCATTGGAGAAGGAAATGGCAACCCACTCGAGTATTCTTGCCTGGATAATCCCAGGGATGGGGGAGCTTGGTGGGCTGACGTCTATAGGTCAGTCAGACACAACTGAAGCAACTTAGCAGCAGCAGCAGCATACCAGACCTGGATGAGTTACTCAGGTATGGGTTCTTTTGATCTGGAAACCTCACAGTTCAGTAGGAGGAGTGGGTATGAAGAGGAAGAAAGATTGAGGCGTCTTAACATTATGAATAGTCTTTCACTTAACTTCTTTATTTTTCAATACAATACTCCCATCTTTCAATGTAGCTGGTATCCCTTGGGTCAAATACTATCTTCTGTACCTTCTCAAGAGAATGAACCTCCAATATTTTGTGGGGTGAGTAAGATACATCTACTCTCATCCTACTATTCAGAGTAATGAAGAATTGAGGAAGATTCAAGATTCTTCTTAACTTATAATCCCTATCTATACTCTCACATCCAAAGATACCTGCTCACACCAATTTTTGATCTTTTGGAAGTTATATGGAACAAATTGGATTGCCTGACATTGACAGTTTTGCCCACTCTCAGAGCTGAGAATTCAGTGAGCTTACTCAAATGTCACCACTGGTCTTTCTACTTTCCAACTTTTGCTCATATCATCTCTTCTCCTGTCTCTTTTTAAGTCCTTCCATATCATTTCAGTTGAGTTTGGGGACAGAGTAAGGTAACTGTTTGTGCTCACTTTGTCATCTTTAACAAAAGCCAACTTTATAGCATATTATTAAAAACTTGAGTATTATAGCTACTGCAGTTATAAATTGAACTTAAGTTATATACCATAATTCAGTGCACAGTTCAGTTGCTCAGTCGCGTCCAACTCTTTGTGACCCCATGAACTGCAGCACCACCAGGCTCCCCTGTCCATCACCAACTCCCAGAGTTTGCTCACAGTGCACAACAGTGCATCAAAACCCCAAAATGGAAAACTAAAGTGATCAAAAACAAAATTCCCTGGTACATTAACAATATTATTTTTCAGTCTAGCCATAATTAAGATCAATCATTTCACTTAAATGAAATGAGTCACACTCATAAATACTGCTTTAAACAAAACTATGATACATCTGTAACATCTTACAGAAAAGTCCAAATGAACTTTTTGGCCAACCCAATACAATTCCTTGTGGTTTTGATTTTTTAATACATTTCTTTCAGACCCTTTCAAGATACAGACACTAACCTTTATCATTATACATTTTCCTACCTTTTCCTAAGAAAGAACTCATGCCTACTCTCAATTCTCTACTTTCTCAATAGAGAAAGCACAGGCAATATATTCTATAAAAGTAAGGCATACGTTTGAAACAAGCCAATACATCTTACTGAGACCAAAATGGAAAAAACAACACAGTATCAGTAATGAAGATGTTGCATTACCTTTGTTATATCAAATAAAACATTTACGAACCAAAAAGCTCCAAACAGATCTTTCATCAAAGAGAAAGGAAAGCAGTATTCTCAAGTTGTCTCTAACTCATAATACAAATTCATTATTTCTTATTATCACTCTAAAATCCAAGTCTCTAAAAATGTATATATAAAAAAAAATCTACCCTGGGGCTTCCCTGCTGGTCCAGTGGTTAAGAATTCACCTTGCAATGCAGGGGCCACCGGTTCAATCCCTGGTCCAGAAAGATTCCACATGCTGTGGAGCAACTGAGCCCACGTGCCACAACTACTGAGCACATGGGTCACAACTACTGAAGCCCGTGCACCCTAGCGCCTGTGCTCTGCAACAAGAGAAGTCACCTCAATGAGAAGCCTGCACACCACAATGAAGAGTAGCGCCCCCAACTGGCCACAATTAGAGGAAGTCCATGCACAGCAATGAAGACCTAATGTAGCTGAAAATTTTAAAAAATCCACCCTGAATTTATGTAGAAAACCCCTATGGAATAAATAAAGGTGGATCTTTAGAATAATGGCCCTTCTATTTATTTTTGACCTTTATTTATTCTGATGGTATGGAAAACAAGATACCTGAGTAAAGATAAACAGGAAATTATTTCAGTATTTAAAATATTAATGAAATTCATTTAAATAATATTTAAATATTAATGAAGTACTGGCATGGTATTTTAAAGTAGAGGATGAACTACTGTATTTCTTTTCTACTTTAAGTCAAAAGAGTTATAAAGTATCTTAATAAATGAATTGACAAAAGACATCACTGTCAAACTTGAGACTAGAATGATCTTCCTAAGTTTTCATATAGTTTTTTAAGATTATTTTATGATTTTAACTAAAGCAACCTAACATCACAGAAATGATGCACCGAGATAAATATATAATGCTACTATGACCAATTTCAAATAAAATAAATAGATCCACATAAATCCACTTGTCTGCTGCATAAAAAGGTTGATTCAAAACCACTTGCCATTTCTGCGGGAAGGCTTCTGCACTGCCGCTGGTGGGCAAGACTGGGCAGGTGCTACATCTGAAGGAGCAGCAGAGCCTGTATGATGAGCCTTCACCTTGTCAGCCCAGCTGACACCTGTGGGAGCCAGGCGCGGAGCAGCCACTGCGCCAGATGAACCCCTGTGGAGAAAATGACTGAATTTAATAAATACATATATGTTAAAATTTTAAACATATACTTAATATACTTAAATTTTAAATGAATTATATGTGTGAATGTATATCCATACATACAGGATAACATACCATCATAGCAACTGAAGGCAAATGTATTCATAAATATCCTGGACTAATACTTCATTAGTCCAGCATAACATATAATATGGGAACAAACATAATATAAAAGCTGTCACTAGTTCAGTTTAAAAGAAAATCTCAGTGAAATGGAGAATCTTTTAAAAAAATGCACATATACCTGCACATATACCCTTAACTTTTTATTTTCATTTAAAACTCTTATCTATTAATAATAAAATGTCCATTAATTTGACCATATATCAACACAGGCACTATTAAAACAGGGTTTTTCACGTGTATTATTTCTTACATGAACCTCAAGTATGATGCCTCATTGACAATGTCCAATTTGGGGTTTTTTGAAATGGAGTGATAATTCAGTGACAACTATTAAATAATCTAAGTACACAATTCTTCTCAACTTTAATAATCTCTCCCAGCTTTTATAGTTGTCCTATCCACTCCTCATTTGACAGCAAAACTTTAACCATTCACTTTATCAAAGCTTCCCAAAAACTCATCTTAGTTTTCACAGAAACAATGACTCATTTTATACTCATATTTTAGTGGTTTACTTAATATTTAAGTTATGAGTTAAAATACAGACAACTTAAACAAGTTTGGTAACTAACTGCAGAGTCTAAAGCAATTAACTCAACCAGTAAGAAGAGAAGTGAGTATATATATTAAAGTCTGCCTATAAGCCACAGTTTTTCAACATGCTTTATTATCATTTTATGATGACAATAAAGGGTGTCAATTAATTCAATGATACAACACATGAAGATCAACATGAGAACTTTATTATGCATGCATTAAAGACTTTCAGTGTTAAAATAAACCATGCACCATACAAGACTCTCTGCATTACAGACCAATGGAATGCATTATAGGGGAACTTCTCTTAAAATGGTGCTTGAATATACATACATTTGCTTTTATTTGCTTATATATCTTTCCCCAACTCCACTAAGGTTCAATTTTATTATAAGGCTCCAAAGTCCATCAACCTTCACCTAGGGCAATACTATCTAATAATCTCATTTAAAGCAAAAAGTTGATTCTACTGAATAACACTTAATGAGCTCTTACTAAGGGCTGAGAACAATGCTAGGTGCTTGGGATACAGAAAATATGACAAACATCTTGCCTTAAAGAAGGTCATAGTGTAAGAACAAAAAACAAACATTAAAAATTTTAACACACTGAAAATCTAATAATAATATACATATATGCAAGGCCCAGCAGTAACAGGAGATGAAACTGACCGTGGACATGGAGACAGGAGCAACGAGAAGCCAAGAAGAAAGGGTAAGTTTTAACAGAACAAAGATAACTGACCAAGCAAACTACTTACTGACCCTCACACTACAAATATTAAGACTCACTCTAAAGAACTAGACTCCAAACAGATATTTATCTTTAAAAGCTAGTTTTGCCATGGAAACTTAAGGAAAACAACAGTGATAACTTCCACGAACAACATCATAGGTGCCAAAGGGATCAACAGCATTTTGGGCAAACAGGGGCTAACTTAAAAGGCAAAGATGGAGAATGAGAAGTCCATGGGGGACTCTGAAAAGCTCTAATACATTCCTGGAAATCAAAAAGACCACACACATGCGCTGGGTTGTGTGCAAACTCAGGAAAGGTCTGGAACAGCTCTAATCTCTCACCTCTGACTGCCCTTGAGGCTCTGGGGAAGCAGGAATTGAGAGCAAAGTTAGAACTGTAAACTCCAGAGCACTGAAGACATGCTGATCACACATAAAACTAGAAAAGAGCTAGGAGATTTATTGGTTCAAGGATTTAAGGAAATCTCTGTCAAATCATTAGCTGACAACTAAGATAACGAAGTAGAGACTTAGTGACTATAACAACAAAGAACACAGACTCCAGAAGACTAGTTCAAGAAAGTCACAAAACAAACAAACAGTAGCAGAACCACCATCACTAACAGTGACACAAACCTGGTGAGTGCAGCAACCTGCTCTCCGGTGCTATCACACTATACTGTTTAAATGTCCAATGTTTAACAAAAGCCGTAAGACAAGCAAAGAAACAGGAAAGTACAGCCTACTCACAGACACACAACAGAAAAGCAACCAAAACAAGTCCTGAAGGAAGCCTCAACACTGGACTTACTAGACAAAGACTTTAAATGAGCTATTATAAATATGTT